GTGAACAGAGTTTTCTAACAAAAAAACGGACCGTATTTTACGAAAACCGTAATTTTGAACCTTGCGCGGGTGTAAGTGGAGGAGCATGGCACAGTCATGCCTGTCCCAATACATACGTACCCATGCACGTCTTCCCTGTCCTCCTCTCACCATGCACGCCGTGCATAAGTACCCCCGTGTGTATGTGGAGGAGCATGGCACAGTGATCATGCCTTCCCCATGTCATGCCCATGCGTGCCCCCACTCCCCTTCCCCTTCACACCGTGCAGAAGTACCCCCGTGTGTATGTGGAGGAGCATGGCACAGTGCAGGGCGAAGCAGACATGATGGCCGAGGTGAGAGGGTTGTGAGGGATGTGAGGTGAGAGGGGGCTGAGGTGAGAGGGTGGTGAGGTGAGAGGGTGAAGGGAGGGTGTTGAGGAAGGTATTTTGAGGCGCCTCAAAGCATGGCATGGTACGGTGTAGGGCGAAGCAGACATGATGGCCGAGGTGAGAGGGTGGAGAGATGGAGAGAGTGGTGAGAGGTTGGTGAGGATGGACTTTTGAGTCGACTCAAAAGCTGGGTTGGTGAGGATGGACTTTTGAGTCGGCTCAAAAGACGGGTTGGTGAGGATGTGACAGTGGCTCCTTCTGTGCGCTTCTCCTCCTTTGCCTTCTCATGTGCAGCATCCATTCGCTTTCCTCCCCTCCACTCCTCTCCCATCCCCCACTTAACCCGCCCATGCGCTGCTGCTCACATCACACCTCGCCCTGCTCACCCCTTACATCACGCCTCGCCCTGGTCACCCCTCCCCCTGCTCACCCCTCACCCTGCTCGACGCTTGCCTGTTGGCCCCTCGCCCCTCCCCATTTGCCCCTCGCCCCTCCCCATTTGCCCCTCGCCCCTCCCCATTTGCCCCTCGCCCTTTGCCCTTTGCCCTTTGCCCCTCGCCCTTTGCCCCTCGCCCTTTGCCCTGCTTCTCCGTCGCCCCTCGCCCCTTGGCGCTGCGCTCTACCTGCCACTCACCACAGATTGCGGCACGTGGCCCCATCGCATGCGGCATTGCAGTGAACGATGACTTTTACAAGAACTACAAGTGAGTGCGTGGGGGGCAGAGGAGAGGAGAGGTCCCATGTGTGAGAGTGTGGTGGTGTGTTTTGAGTTGACTCAACACACACCCCATCGCGCGCGGCATTGCAGTGAACGATGACTTTTACAAGAACTACAAGTGAGTGTGTGCGGTGGGCAGGAGAGGTACTAAGAGAGTGTGCGGTAGGCGAGGCGATTACAATGAGGGGAATTCTGGGGCTTCCTTTTCTGCTAGTGCCATTTTGCCTTGCCTACAACGCTCCCTGCACCTCACCCGAATCCTTCCCTCTTGCTCTGTTCCCCCAGGGGTGGCATTTACAATCACACCACAGGCTTCCGTGACGTGGACCATGTTATTGTCGTGGGGGTTGGGGCTTTTCAGCTGCTGCCGTCCCCATTCCCCACTGCTAACGCCATCTGCTCTCCCTCGCGCGACCCTGTCTCCCCCCAGGGGCAGCATAAACAACGGCACGACGGGCTTTCTTGACGTGGACCATGTGATCACTGTGGGTGGTTGCGGGCACCATCCCTGATTCCACTCCCCCTTGCCCGCTGCTAATGCCACTTCTTCCCACCCTTGCTGCCCTCCGTCCTTGCCTATTCTGTCTCCCCCCAGGAACGGCATATACAACGACACGACGGGCTTCCTTCATGTGGGAGGGTGGGGCACTAGCACTACTGCCACCTCTTTTTCTTGCCCGCTGCTAATGCCATCCTTTCTCCCTCGCCTCTCCCTTCCCCCCCTCAGAGGTGGCATTTACAACGACACGACAGGCTTTCTTGATGTGGACCATGTGATCACTGTTGGCGGGTGGGGCACCTCCCCTGAGGGGGTGAAGTACTGGATCGCCCGCAACTCGTGGGGCACGTACTGGTGTGAGCGAGGAGCGAGAGTGAGGGTGTGATTGTGTGAGTGAGTGAGTGAGTGAGTGAGGGAGTGAGGGAGTGGGAGTTGGGAGAGAGTAGTGGAGGGGGCTGGTGGGCTGATAGTCATGGTCACCGACCAGGGCACGTTTCTTGAGGGGTTGTAGCACTGGACCATTCGCACGCAACTCATGGGTATGTATTGCAGCACTGGTTACATGCTCATGTGCTGCCATGCATGCTCAAGTGCTGATATACTGCATGTTCGCATGCTGCCATGTTGCATGCATGTTCGCATGCTGCCATGTTGCATGCATGTTCGCATGCTGCCATATTGCATGCATGTTCGCATGCTGCCATACTGCATGCATGTTCACACGCTGCCATACTGCATGCATGTTCGCACGCTGCCATACTGCATGCATGTTCGCACGCTGCCATACTGCATGCATGTTCGCACGCTGCCATACTGCATGCAAAAGGCCTTACAAACCACTCTGATGCGTTGCTGTATTTGTATGTGTGGGCAGGGGGGAGAACGGCTGGTTCCGCATCGTGCGAGGAACTAACAACCTTGCGATTGAGAGTGGATGTGACTGGGCAGTTCCCAAGGTCGTGTGAGAATGAGGGTTGTTGCATGTGCCATAAGATGCACCCACCGAGGCTGTAGCACGTTGAATGAATGAATGTATCTCTTGTGCAAAAGCATCGTTTGGATTGCTACTATGTATGTTGGTTGGAATCCGACAGTTCGCACTTTTCCATAATGCTTTCTCAAAGTTTCTGCGATATTATCACACCATCGACGGATGACGAGGAATAACCCCCCCCCCGCTAGAAGAGCCGAATTGCAGGGCTATCCACAAATGACGGAAACGACACCAAGAGCAACCCCACGGTGCCAACACCACCAAGTCTTGTCTTCAAACGACGAGATTGCGTGGGTTGGGGAGGGATGTGAGTGTGGTGCTGAACAGTGGTCTTCAGTCAAGTTTCTTTGCAACACCAACATGCTGTCCTTGTCTCACGCGAGACCAAGCCATTCCACCGTCCGAGCCTCGTGGTATGGCTACGTTCGGGCACAGGCTCGTCCTTCCCGCAACACACTGCCGCAACCAATTTCTTCCCCCACGCTTCATGCGGACTCATCCCTTGAGGTTGTCGTCGTCGTGTCGTGTGGTTGCATGCGTACTCTCCGCAAGCGGGGGAATATAACCCAGGGTCTGCGGGCGGGTCAACGGATTGCTCGAAGGCGGAGAGGCGTATGTTGTATGGTTTTTTGCGAAAGCTCGAGTCGAGAGACGTGGTCGGGAAGGAGGTATGGTACATAGCCTCGAGCTTCGCCTCGGGCGGGGCAGGGCTGGTTCGGGTGTGAGGCTCAAGGGCTTCTGCAGGGTCTTCAAAATGTTCACACGACTGCACTTTCTTGGGGCCGCTTTGTGATTTTCTGGGGGCTTTTAAAAAAACGCGGCGTACAGATTCTGTAGCGATATCAGCCAGGATCACTCACATCGTTTTGTACAGTGTCTGCGGCGATCCATCCGATGCTCTAGCTTTTGTTATTTCTCTGCAATTGGCAACCTCGAATGCTCCACGAATACACACCACACTCTTCGAATGGGCCTTGTTACTGTATTTCAAAATTATGAATATCTCTTCTTTCTACTGCTAGCCACAGAACTTAGCTTCACATGTTGTCCACGCTTAGTAAGAAGAGGAGAATTCACTTGCGATAGGTTCATTGTGAACCAAGCCATACATGCTGCACGGTTGAAGACCGTTGAGCTCCGGCTTCAAGGGAACACGGGAGGATAGACCCAACATACACGGAGGTGTATGTACATTTTTAAATGTGTGTACATTTTTTGTTTGTAAACAAACGCTTTCCGATTTTGGCAGACTGTCTAGTGCATTTCTGTGTCATAATTTCCGTGTAACAGAAATGTGTCACTTGATACAAGGACGTTGTGACGTTGTGTAACTTGGTGCGATGCAAACCAATACCGTAGTACCGTACTGACTCTAACTTGTACCGTTGTGTTATCCATTCTCTCCCCACTGTCACTTGCAAGGTGAGATTGCGATAGCACCAAGGAGGTCTTTGGGCAAACCCTATTACCGAACCTTGGGAACTCCAAAAGTAACTCAACCGACTCGAAGAAATCCGGACCCAACCAAAACACGCCCCTCAAACTCGCCACTACAGTACTGTAAATGCCTCGATTTCAGATCCCTGACTGTGCAACGTCGTCTAGGGTTTCGACGACGACAATGGCTGCAATCCTATCCCATCCCCAACGGACCTGTCCAGGCAATCAAATAAGCACCAGGAAGGACAGCCAGCGAGAAGGAGAACGTTCTCCATCAATCCATCTTCAACAGACAATCCATAAAATTATTGGTTCCCTGAAATCGGTCTTTATTGACTTCATTGGAATGTGTTCTAACTTTTAGGAGTAGTCTCACTGGCCGATGCGGTAGGCCTTATGAAGCAGGCAGAGTCTAATCTGCCTAAACCGCCGGAGAATATGGCGACCTTCGAAGCAGCGTGGAGACCGCAGGATGCCGGCTCTTCCGCCGCATCGTCTCATTTCTCTTTTCAAGACACACGATTTGAGCCGCGTTACCAGGTCTCCGGGACTAACTTTATAGAAGACACGTTTGTTCCTCTTCCTGATGACGAGGATGCCCCTTTCGGTACTGGGGTCAAAGCTACCCGCAGTTCCCGCGGGGACTCTAAGCCGCGGCCCGGAAGCCAGTCCTTCGGAGCGAAGGACCGTCGCGATCTATACTCACCCCCTCGGAGCGATTCCCCTTCCGGTCAGAACCCCGTTAGTAGCCGCTCCGGTACCAGCCGTAGCCTCGCCAAGACCTTTTCCTTGCGCATTCCTGAGAACGTGGAAGACTCGTCGTCTCCTCAGAGTCGTAGATCGCTCTCCCCTCGGCAAGCCCACTCCCACGCTCGCGCGTTCTCTCAATCTCACTCTCATTCTCACACTGCCGCGTCGCACAGCAGCAGCTTATTATCCGGCATGCTCAGCCCCCGCCCGGGAAAGGCGCCGCGCGCGATGCGCAAGGGCCGCTCCGCGACGTCGATGTTTCTGGATCATGCAGTTGACGAGGCAGCTCTTATGGAGGACGAGGCGGCGAACGACGGCGGCGCCGGGTGGGACGAGGACGGCGCGGCGGCAGCGCGACGCGTCCACGCGAAAGCGCTCGCCGCGATCGCGACGCCGCGGGGACGCGGGCCGAAGAACAATGACTGGAGTAACGCGCGCAAGGCTTCCGAGTGGGGTGCCGCTTCTGCCGCCGCTGGTTCGCTTTCTAGTTCGAGTTCGGGCTCGCGCACGGGCTCTATGGCTGCTGCGGCAGCAGCGGCGGTGCAGGTTTCGCCCGAACGGGGTGGTAACAGCCGGTGGCATTCGCGAGCGCGAAGCTCGTCGCAGGTGGACGCTGAGCGAAGCTCGTCGCCTTGGGGGTCCGGGACGGGGCGAACGGCTGGCGGAGGCGCAGAGGGGGGAACAGCGGGCGGAGAAAGCGCGTTTGCGGGAGCCAGGCGGGGGAGAGTGGGCGGAGGAGGCGGAGGGGCGGTTTCCGCAGTGGGTAAGCCGACAGGTGCGTTCGAAGCACGTGTCGCGCCGGCGATAGCGGAGAGGCCTCCTGTACCTGAAGGCCTGCAAGATCTCTCCTTGTTTTACGGCGCTTCGAGGGAAGAGGTCGCCAGCAGCGGCAGCGTGATATTTAATCCGGCAGGCGGCGCCGTTAGCGAGCATGATTCGGATTTAGCGGTCCTGATCAACTCCCCTGCTTCCGTTGCCCCTGCTGCTGCTGCTGCTGCGGGTGGTGGTGGCGCGGTGGAAGCGGCACCGCCGTCACCACGAGGTCTGCATGTTTCGCCGAAGTCCTCGTGGACCAATCAGAAACCAGCGACGTTGGGAAGAGTGGCAGGTACCGGCGGGAGGGCTCACACGGGAGCAGCCGCGGCGGTAGCGCCAGGAGTAGGCGCATCTGGGTTAGGTGCATCTGGGGCAGGTGCATTTGGCGCAGGCCCGGGCGCGATCTCGCCCATGGCGGCCGCCGCCATTCGCGGCGGCGGATTATCAGCGATGTCGCCGCGCCTGCTGAAATTCCTGGTCGAGGACAAGCCGGGCGCGGCGGAGCGGGGCGCGGGGAGAGCAGGGGAGGGGAAGCGGGGCGGAGACAGGCGCGTGCGCCAGAGCGGAAGCGGAGACGAGACTGCGGAGGGGAGGGGGGGTGCAGGGGGAGACGAGCGGGGGAGGGTATCGTTGCGATCGCGCAGCGGGCCCCTCTCCGCAAGAACCAGATCGCGCGCCGCTGCGACTATGGGCGGCGCCTTCCGGATTCCCGGGCCGCTGCACTCCCCGCTCTCGAGCTCCCCCGCGTCGTCCGATTCGTTATTGTCGTCCCCGCTAGCCCTCCCCGCGCCGTCCCCGTTAGCGCCGTCATCGAATTTCGGTAGAAGCGCCGGCCCCGCGGCAGCAGCGGGTGCCGCTCACGGGAGAAGCGGCGCGGGAAGTGCGTCAGTGCCCTCCCCTACACGCACCTCCCCTACAATCACATCAGCCACTAAACCAACCTCCCCACTAGGCCCCCCCACTGCCGCCGCTACCACGGGGCCATCCGCGTCTGCTGCGCCGTCATTGGCGGCTCCCGCGGGGTGGCAAGCTTTCCGGCGGCCCGCCGCCCTTGATCTTGGACGGCTGCTTGCGCCCGGCGCTACAGCCGGGGAGGAATCCGACGGCGAAGATGACTTCAGCGATGACGACGCTGACGTCAGCGAGGCAGTGGCTGTACCAGGTCCGGCCGAGCCGCCAGGTTCGGGGAGAGCTGCGGCGACAGGCTCGGGAACTGCCACCGATCGCGGGGAGCGGCTGGAAGGGGTTGAGGTGAGGCTGGAGCGGCGGTCAACGGGTAACGCGCAGCACGCGGAGAGGGGAAGGGCGGACGGGAACCAGGGGAACGCGGAGCGCCCCCGCAGCAGCCCCGTTGGCCTCGACTCGACGCATAACGTCGCCCGCCGAACCAGCCCTGTCGGTTCGGGCACTGTAGATAAGTCCGGGTTGGGAGGCAGCGGCGGCGGAGGAGGAGGCGGGGGTAGAGCGGGCGCGGGTAGGGCGCAAAGCACGAAGAGCCCAGCGCGGGCAGCGAGGGGCGGGAGTCCGAATGTTTTGGCTGCTGCTGCTGCTGTTGCCGGGGACGCGTATAACGCGAACACGCGAGTGCTCCCCCCGTCGTTGTCGTTTTCCGGGAGCGACCTGGCGGTCAGCGCCATCGACCGCCGCCCTTCCGCCAATGAATACATCGACTTCCCCCCGGCGGCTTCCCCCGCCGATTACTCCCCGGATGTTAACATCTCCCCCACGCAACAGGCGCAGCAACAGGCGCAACAGCAGCAGAGGGCTAACAGTGCCAAGGTTGGCAGGCAGGCAAGCGGACAGGCCGGTATGGGTGGCCGTACGGGTAAGCCTGGGAGCAGCGGAAACAGCCCCGTGGGTTCGGCTGCGCCGGCAGGTTCGGGAACAGGTTCGGGAGGTTTCGGGGGAATAGGACCCGGCACAGGCACAGGCACAGGCACAGGCACAGGCACAGGCATAAGCACGGGCTCGGGCACAGTCACGAGTGCAGGCATGGGGATGGCAAAGAGTGCGACATTGGATTCGGGAATGGGCGGTGCCCACACTGACTCTGACGATAACGATAACGAGAACGAGGACGATGATGATGACGACGACGCTATCTTGCTGCTGCCAGAAAACGTTCCGAGCCCCGACGCTGCGGGACCCAGCTCGGCGCGCAGCAAGCCAAAAGCTGCGCCACCGGCACCGTTAGCGTCAGCGTCAACGTTTACGTCGGCAACGGTAGCGTTAGCGTCAGCGCCCGGGCAGGGCGGGAAGGGGGCGTTTTCTGAGCGCGTGCGGGGGTTTGCGTCCCCCAGGCGCGTGGAGAGGCCCCCCGACCCCATGGACCGCCTCCGCGGATTCGTCTCCCCGCGCGCGCGCATCCGGGAAGGGCCGGGCGCGGGGCAGAGCGAGGGAAGCGCATGGGGCGGGGATGCTGGTCGCGCCACTGGCGGTGGGGGTCGGGGGGGAGGGGCCGGAAGGGCTGGCGCAGCGGCAGCGGAGGAGAGTCAACAGGGGGGATCGATTTGGCAGCAGTATCAACGGCCGCAGGGCCAGCAGCAGCAGCTGCCGCAGCAGACACAGCAGCAGACGCAGCAGCAGCAGCAGCAGACGCAAGCGGAAACGGACAGCAAAGGAAGTCGTAGGCGGCCGAATCTGCGGCCGTTACAGCTGGACGCTCTGGTTACCACTCCCAGAGGCCGCACCCGCTCGCACCTCCCCGCGGGGGGACCTCTTTCCGCGCGCGCTGCTGGCCCAGGCCCGAGCAGCAGCGGCTTCCGCCAAAGGGGCGCGGGCGGGGGCAGAGGGGGAGTCGCGGGGTGGGATGGGGACGCGCCAATGGCTGCGCCTGCAGGGGCGGGGGAGGGGCAGGGGGGGCGGGGGCATATGGCGATGGCAATGCCTCCGCTTTGGCACAGAAGTCCGCGGGCGGGGGGAAGCGGGTTGAATCTAGGCGCACTCACCCCCACTGCTGCTTCCGCCTCTTCCGCCGCGGGTGCAAGCGGGGGAAGAGGCGGGGCATCTGCTGCTGCTGGTCCCGCGGGAGGGGGGGAGAGGGCGGGGGGCGCGGGAATGGGGGACAACAGCAGCAGCCCCAAGTACTACGTTGCGCTTAAGAGCCCCCGAGCGCCCGCAGATGCGCCCAGACGCGCCAACAAGAGCCCCAAGACGCCCCGCGGGGAGGTGCTATCTGGGAAAGGCGCGGGCGAGGGGGGCATGGGCGGAAGCGCTACTGCTGGCTCTGGGTGGGGGGGCGGCGGGGCAGGCGGAGGGGCGGGCGGAGGCGGAGGCGGAGGGGGAGGCGCAGGCGGAGGGGGAGGGTCGGGGGAGAGCGGAAAGAGGCGGGGGTTAGCGTCATGGGGAGGCGGGGGGACGCTGGGCGCAGCAGTGGACACTTTCAGTCGCAGCCTGAGCGCCCACCCCGTCAGCCCTAGGGCGGGGCCACCTGGGGGCGCAGGCGCAGGGGGAGGCGCAGGGGGAGGCGCGGGGGGAGGCGCGGGGGGAGGCGCGGGGATGACAGCAGAAGCAGCAGCCGCGTTTGACGCGCATGCGAGAAGATCCATGGCCCCCGCCCACAACCCCTCCTTCCATGCCTTCCCTAGCCCCTCCCTCCGCCCCTCCCCCACTGCTGCTGCTGCCGCTGCTGCTGCTGCTGCTGTCGCTGCTGCTGCTGGTGGCGGGGGCAGCGGGGCGGGGAGCAGCAGTAGCGCGCGCGGGGGAAGCAGCAGCGGCGCTGCTGGTGGTGCTGACATGGGAGGGGGGGCAGGCGGGGCAGGGGGCGCAGGAAGGGGCGCAGGAGGGGGCATGGGAATGGGGATGGGGATGGGGATGGGGATGGGGATGGGTGTGTTTCAGCAGGGATTCTCTGATGTGACGCGGCGGTATGAGATGGGGAGGAAGGTGGGGCAGGGGCGGAAGGGTGTGACTGTATACCAGTGCGTGGAGAGGCGCAGTGGGAGGCAGTATGCGTGTAAGACTATAGACAAGGTGACTCTAACGGGGGGGAGGAAGGAGGAGGCGGTTCGGACGGAGGTGGCGATTATGAGGAAGCTGCAGGGCCATCCGCACATAGTGGAGATTAAAGACACAGCTGAAGATGCCAAGGTGAGTCTGTTTGTTTGGCCTAATAGCATTGCTCTAGTTTGCACTCAAGACCCACCATCGGCCCCACTTATTTCCTTCCCTCCCCTTTCAGTTGTTGAGGCGCCGCGCCTCAATGCCCTCCCCCCCCAGTTCATGCCCTCATGGAGATGTGCTGCGCAGGGCGAGAGAGGCCGCCGCCACCTCTTCCTCCCCCCCTCATCTTCCCCCTCTTTCCCCCTTTCCTACCCCTCAGTTCGTGCACATAGTGATGGAGATGTGTTCAGGCGGCGATCTGCTAGATCACATCAACACACAGCTGTGCATCTCCGAGAGGGAGGCACCCAACCCTCTCCCTTTCTCCCTTTCGTCTTCCACCCCCCCCCCCGCTTTCCCCCTCTTCTTCCCCCCCTCTCAGTTCGTGCACATAATAATGGAGATGTGTTCAGGCGGCGACCTGCTGGATCACATCAACACGCAGCTGTGCATATCGGAGAGGGAGGCGGCCACCATAGTGCGCGTGCTCGTGCAGACCATCCACTTCTGCCACGTCAGCGGCATCATGCACCGCGACTTAAAGCCCGAGAATGTGCTGCTGGGCTCGCCCGGCCAGTGGTGGGACCTGCGGGTGGCGGATTTCGGCTTTTCTGTGCCGCTCAGAGCAGGTGAGGGGCGGAGGAGAGGGTAGGTGCAGGTCTGTCACACGAGGGATTAGGCGAGGAATCCTCACAGCGAGTGGTGCAATGCACAGGAATGGGTGCATTGGGGAGCAGGCGAGGTGTGAAGAGGGCATCAGCGCTGGCCGGGGGTGTGTGGTGTGCACAGAGATCAGAGCAGAGCAGGTGAGGGGAGAAGAGGTGAGGGGAGAAGAGGTAGGTTCTCCCCTCACCTCTGGCCGGGCGAGCCCAGCAAAGACAGACTTCCACCCTCCACTTCGGCCCCCACCGTTAACCCCACCCCACCCTCAACCCCATCCCCACACAGGCCAGCGCATGAAGGGGTACGCCGGGTCTCCGTTCTACATGGCGCCGGAGGTGCTGGACGGACTGTACGGCCACGAGGCAGACATCTGGAGCCTCAAGTCTTGGCTCCCTCTTTCCACCTTCCCCCACCCCACTACAGGCCAGCGCATGAAGGGGTACGCGGGCTCGCCTTTCTACATGGCCCCGGAAGCCTGGGGCACGAGGCAGACATCTGGAGCCTGGGGGTCATCCTCTTGCCCCAACCCCTACTTTCACCCCAACCCCAATTCCACCCCACACAGGCCAGCGCATGAAAGGATATGCTGGGTCCCCGTTCTACATGGCGCCCGAAGTGTTGGACGGGCTGTACGGGCACGAGGCAGACATCTGGAGCCTGGGAGTCATCCTCTACACGCTGCTTTCCCAGAAGCTTCCCTTCTGGGACGACACGGACGCGGGCGTGTACGAGCTGATCCGGCGATGCGAGGTGGACACGAGCTCGGGCGTGTGGCCGCTGGTATCGGGGGCGGCAAAGGACCTCGTGCACCGCATGCTGGCCTTCGATCCGAACCACCGATTGCCGCTACACCTCATTCTAGGTATGCTTGCTATCTGGTTCTAGGTGGGGGTATGCTTGACGGCATGGCTGTGAGGTGGATACGAGGGTTTAGGGCGTGTGGCCGCTGGTGTCGGGGGCGGCGAAAGATCTCGTGCACCGCATGCTGGCCTTCGACCCCAACCACCGCCTGCCCCTGCATCTGATTCTCGGTAAGTGTGCCACTGCCCCTCATGGTATGGCTGTGAGGTGGACACGAGCTCAGGCGTGTGGCCCCTCGTGTCAGGGGCGGCCAAGGACCTCGTTCATCGCATGCTGGCCTTCGGTCCAAATCACCGCCTGCCGCTGCACCTCATTCTAGGTATGTATGCCATTGCATGTCAATTTAGGTAAGGGTGTCCTCAAGCTCGGTAGATTCTGAGGCACCTCAAAGAATTCACCCCTATTTTCCCGCTCCCCCATCCCCACCATTCCCTGCATCATCTCAGACCATCCATGGGTGGTCACCAACACTAATGTCCACATCCCCCACGTGCGCTCAAGAGCTTCAATGTTTTAGGCACCCTGAAGAATTGATCTCATCCTTCCCCGTTTCCCACTCGTGTATATTCCCTCCCCCATCTCCCCCACCACCCCACACGCCACCTCAGACCATCCATGGGTGGTCACCAACACGACAGTCGACATCCCCCGCGTGCCATCCAGCGCATCAGTTTCCTCGGAAACTTCCTCGCTCGAGCCGCACTCGTCCAGGCGGCGAAAGAAAGATATTGCTCGATCTGCTGGGACCATCTTTTCGTCCCGTGCCCAACCACAAGCCATGCGGGCTGCTGCCGCCGCCGGTGGTGGTGGGGGGAGTGATGGTGATGATGACGAGGAGGAGAGTGTGGGTGGCAAGGGGGAGTGAGGAGGGAAGAGTACTGGGGACTAGAAGGTTAGTGGGGACTGGTAGAGGGCTTAGAGTGACTGTAAGGGGGGCTGTGTTGCAGAGAGCAAGCATACACGGACCTCGACCAAGAAGACGTCACTGTGCAGTGTGGTGCAGTGCGGTGCGGTGGCTAACATAGTGGTTCTAAGTGTTATGCTCTCGTCTGATGATGCACAAACGAGCGCCGGTCTCATCTTATGGGTTCAGTCACTCCTTGAGAAGACGGTTGACGATGGCTGCGACCACTGTCTTGAACTAGAGGGGCGTTTTGGGTTCCAAAACAGATTCTCTTGCCATGGCCAAAAGTGAAGCGGTCCTGCAGGTGGTGGTTTGTTTCTGATTCGACTTTCTGATTCGTTCTCACTTATGAGAGGTGATTTTGACTTGCATGTAGCATAGCTTTCTGTATTATATTATTCTGACGTTTATCTAAACTGATGTGTCTGTCTCTCGCTTTGGCGAAGCAGATTGTATCGAGGTACGTGATTTTCCAAGATGCTTTCGCATCGTCTGGTTACCAGTTTTCCCATAACCCCGTCTCGCATCCTCCTGTCACCATTTCACTTATGGAGTCGCGTCAATGTTCCATTCCGAGGTGTTGAAGACCGTTGGCTCAGTGCTAGACCACGTGGCGCGATGCCTTTGGCTGGGGAACAACGGGGTGCGGGCAAGCGCGGCAAGCGGGGGGAGAAGTTTGAGCGCGTGGGGTGGTCCGCTGCGATGGCGCAGTCCGCCCCGCTTCCGCACGCTCTTCCCGCCGATGCGTCCGCGTACTCCGCGCTCGCGGGTCGTGTATATCCCGCGCATTCCGCTAGCAGCTCGCGCGCCCCGCTCGTCACTCGAGCCACCGAGTTTCCCTCGATTACTGACGAACCTTTGAACGAAGCTTCGGAGACGGTTCGCCCCTTGGGGTTCGAAACCAACAGCCCCGCTGCCGCCGCAAGACGGCCGAATAAATTCTCATCGCAATTGTCACACTCCGGTATTAGCAGCGACATGCGCGCGTGCTCCTCGGGAGCAGCCGCCGCCACTCTTGCGTCGTCAGCGCGTGCCGTCGCGTCGCCAGCGAGATTCGAGACGGCGTTTCGAACCTCATCTGCTGCCGCGTCGCCAGGCGCGGGTCCCGCGGGGGCGGCGGCGTGCAGGGAGGTCGTGACGGGTGAGCTTCTGCGAAGGTTCCGGTGGGCGGACAGGGAGGTGGTGGAAGGGGTGCTAGCGGCGGTGGGCTGGGAGCGAGCAGAGGCGGAAGCAGTGCTGGCGGATATGGGGGGCGAGGCGGCGGTGTGGGGGGAACGAGCAGCCGCGGAAGCAGTCCTAGCGGATATGGGGGGCGAGGCGGCGATGGGGGGGGAGCGCGCGGCCGCGGAAGCAGTCCTAGCGGATATGGGGGGCGAGGCGGCGATGGGGGAAATGGGTGAAAGGGGTGCGGGAGAGGGTGTGGGGGACAAGACGGATATGAAATTGGAAGAGATGGAGGAGGAGGAAGGTGGGAAGCAGAGGGAGACTGATGGCCATGATGACGTGGATGGTAACTTTGATGATGTGGATGGTGACTGTGATGACGTGGATGTGTTCCGGACATTCCGAGGAGAGGCTTTAGCAGCATCAAGGTGAGAGAGCGGCAAAAGCAGCAGAGAGGGAGGCGATAGCGGGTCTCACATCCTCGTTTCCTCTCCATCGCCGCTCTCCCTTTCTGCTGCCTGTATCGTTTCCTCTCCTCTCCTCTCATTTGCCTTCCAATCAAATGTCAATCCTTGTTGCTCACTTCCCCCTCCCCCTTCCCCTCCCGCCCCCCCTTTCCCCCTTTCTCAACCTTTCAGAGCACACGCACGGCTCGCAGGACAAGCTGCCCGGGCATACGACAGGGGCGACCACGCAGCTGCCCGAAGACTTTCCCACGCGTCAAGAGAGGAGAAAGAGCGGGCAGAGAGACTCCACACGGAAGCTGCTGGGAAGATTCTGGCGCACAGGAACAGGGGGCGGTCCTTATGGGAGCTGGACTTGCACGGGCTTTTATCGGGCGAGGCTGTATCTGCGCTGGAGGGGAGGTTGAGGCAGCTGGAGGGGCAGGCGGGTGTGAGTGTGCAGGAGAGTAGTACAGCAAGGGAGGGGTCGGTAGAAGAGCAGGGGGGGAGGAGCAGCATTGGTGCAGCGAGAGAGGTGACTGCAGAAGAGCAGGCGTGGAGGAGCAGTGGTGTGGTTCTCCCGGCTAAGGTGCTGTCGTCAGCGCGGCCTGAGCTGATGGTCATTACTGGTGAGTGCCCGCAATAGTGGTGCTTGGATGTTGAATGCCGAGGTTGCTGCTGTGCGGTTGCAACAGCCTGATTCAACCTGATGGGTTTTATTCCTGAGCTGATGCTTGTGAATGCATGCGCGTGCAAGGCACTTGGACGGATGAACGACTCACTTCAAATGCTTCGAGCTTCTCCATACTGATGTGCGTTATCTTGTGCCGAACAACTGTATGGTGCTTGCAGGTGTGGGGCGGCACAGCAGTGGGGGGCAGCCAAATTTGCCAATGGCTGTGAAAAGATTTCTGCACGAAGCAAGGTACTCAACTTGTTTCTTGACGTTCTGCATACTGAACATGCTTACAGCTTTCATGGTAATACTGACCTTAGATTTTGATAGTGTTTGCTATGTGATTTTGTTCCCATTCAGGTATTCTTACAGGGATGCAAGAGCTGGTGTGATCGGGGTGAGGCCCAGACTTAGTAAGTGAAGGAACACAATGATTATTCAGCTGTACTATATTTATGTAACGTTCCTACAATGATGCACATGTTGCTGAAATTATCCCTGATGGCTGAACTGAACATGATTGAACGGGCTTGCTCCTTGTACAATCGCGTTTTGCAGGGTGCTGCGGTTTTGGCCCACGTCACCTCAGCCAAAACGGATGGTTGCGATGCGGTTGCGATGCGGTTTTAGGGCGTGTAACTTTTTTACTTTTCATCGTCCGGACGGAAGCCCCGTCCGGACTTTTGTAGGGTTACACCGTTCGCCAGGATTCGTGAAAGAATTCGCAAGGCCCCTCGCGACGTCGCGATGGTCCGTACAAAATCTGACACTTTTCTGTCAGTTCATCGTCCGTTCTACGCTGCTGAGACCGTCCGGACAGCATTTCGGACCGTCCGGAACTCCTGCAACCTCATTGGCGCGCGAGGCACAATTTTGGCAACTCGATTTCCCACTCCCAACTTTCAGTTTGTGTGTTGTACTCACAGTAACGCGAGCAAGAGGACGAAGTGGGTAGTTGGAAACCTCAAACATTACCGAGCCCAAACTGCATGCTTGCGAGCTGGGCGATGTGCTGGCGAGGGAGGTTATGCGCGTTACTGTTTCGCTCAAAACTTAAATTTCGAAACTGCAAAAAAGTGTCACAATTGTGGTACGGACGCTTCATCGTCCGAACCACCTCCCCATCCGTCCGGACGGAGCTCCGTTCGGACGGTTTTGGGGCTCCGTCCGGACATTTGCCTAAAACGGAAAAAGTTACACGCCCTTAGTAGTGACTGATGAAAAGGGAGCCCATCTGTGCCACACGTGTTCGACACTGCTGAACCTGCGCGACCTTTTTCGGTCCCCTTGCCGTACCTCCAAGAGAAGCTCGGTATCCAGGCGTGCACTTTCCAGACCACAACCATCTCAGGTCTGGTCACGGAATTGACACGTGCCACCACCCTGGTGGCTCCCGCCCATTCATTCATCCGACCAACTTCAATGGCCTTGATTTGCCACGTCAGCAATATCGCCGCGCATTCTCTTCACACTGCCCTTGGGATTTGCGAGATGCATCGGCCAAGCCCAGCCATTGGGATCCTCTCAACAACTGTGCGGGTGAAATGGTTCTCTGGCGAGGATAGCTGCTTCTGATGCCGCAGAATTCACCACCACTGAAACTGCCTGCTCTAGCATCCTTGATTTCAGGGTTTTTATACGGGCCGTCACAAAACATTTCGGAGTTATCACGAGAAGGCACATGTTCCGCCAAATCTATCATGAACGGTCACATGTTCCGCCAAATCTATCACGAACCATCACACGGGTATCACCCGCCGTCACTCAAAGGCACTAAATTCTATCACGGGTAGTCACACTCGAAACTTTGAAATCACAGATGAACCCTCTCATCATTTCGTTGACCCGCCCTGAAACACTGTACAGATTTAGGGACTATATTTCGGGTTGCTGGTTTTTGTCCTGTATACGCGACCATTTTGGGTGCAAAGCGGCCAAAAGGGAAAGTATGTCAATGGTAACATACATGGGGCTCTTTAATGCGTACAGTAACTATTACAGTACATTTTCACGCGTTTCGTAACTCGTTTCACGCAATTGGTAACTTAGCACAGGCGAATGATCACGCGAATGGTAACTAGATGAAACTCCCGCCGAAATGATCCTGACTAAGAGGAATTTGTTAAATTGAAAGATTTCACGCACCGTTTAATCGATCTTGAACGATTCCCGCCGTGACTTTGAAGGATCGCGTTTGTTCAATTACCACGGACCAAATAGTTTCAGAGCCGTTTCATATCTATTTTAAGCTCTGAAATATAGTACTAACAAGTACAATTATATTTTTGCAAGCATGATTGCATAATTGCAAAATGATGAAATTTTCCCGGAAAAGCGACAATACTTTTATTTAAATAAATGTCTGATTAGTGCAGCGTGGGATAATTTTGGAGGTGAGAAAATAATACACCCTTCCGAATGGCATGCCTTTATTGTAGAAATAGCATTGAACGCCCTGTCGCAAGGAGTTAAGGGTTGATGCTCTCAAAATCATTTGCCATCCGAAAGGGGTATATATTTTTTGCCCCGGTTGTTCGATAGAATTAAGTAAAATCAGTTTTCCGCGAGCGCCAGAATAGCAGCATTATATGAGAAACGGTTTTCAAAACAGCAAGTTTTTACAAAATAGTCCGAATTTCGGAAAGTGTGTCAGAATTTCGGAAAGTGTGTCAGAATTTTGGAAAGTGTGTCAGAATTTCGTGCTTCAGGACTCGTCAATTCAGTCTGGCGCGAGCGGGAAAAACCAGAATCAGGGTCAAGTTGGACGAGGGTTTCTTCTAGTTACCATTCGCGTGATGGCTTGCCAGTGTATAGTTACCAAACGCGTGAATCGAGTTACCAAACGCGTGAAAATTCATTGTTATGGTTACCGTACGTGTTATAAAGCCCCATGTATGTTAACATTCGCATATTTTCCCCGGCCAAAATCATTGATACTCAAATTACGCCAGAAGCAATTTGCAAAAGTACTCAACCGACAATTTTGCAGTATAGTAACTAAACATACTGTTTCCTCTAGCTATAAGCACGATTCTGAAAAAAAATCGCCACCAGCAGGTCCGCACATACCCAACAAAAAAGGAAACATTCCAGAACGCTTGGATAACCAGAACAGTGTTTGGAAATACTAGCCCTAACTACGGGAAGTCGTCAAGAAGTTAGGATCATCTGCTTGGACAAACGACACCGCCCAACGGAGCTTGCTACCCGAGGGCAATTAAAAATAATCCTCCTACTGAAAGGCATCCAGTCAGGATGGCATCAACCCTAAACACCTTGTCGCATAATGTTTAGGGGTTGATGCCATGCGAGATGGCTTTTAATTTTCTTCCAGTTTCTAAATGATATACTATTTTCTTTACAATCTTGAGATCACGTAATGACATGCGATTAAATATTCAGGAAGATTCAATCAATTGTGAACTCTAGAAATATTTATATACGTTCAGAGATTATTATATGTCTATAGTATGTAATTGAAGGCTAGTGTTACTGTATTACGGTGAGATTATTCTAATTCTGTATATTCTATCTGCTGTAGAAAGAAATATAAATTATGCGTTCCAAGTTATGGATTGTTTAGCATCTTGATAAACATTCAGGCAGCTTCAATGAATTGTGAACTCTAGCAATATATATATATGCGCTCAAATTCATTCATACATTTTTTAAAACTAAAGTGTGTTACGTCGATTCGAACGTAACCAGGTATCTTTGCACCCAAAATGGTCGCGTATACAGGACAAAAACCGGCAACCCGAAATATAGTCCCTAAATCTTTACAGTGTTTCAGGGCGGGTCAACGAAATGATGAGAGAGTTCATCTGTGATAGCAAAGTTTCGAGTGTGACTACCCGTGATAGAATTTAGTGCCTTTGAGTGACGGCGGGTGATACCCGTGTGATGGTTCGTGATAGATTTGGCGGAACATGTGACTGCTTGTGATAACTCAGAAATGTTTTGTGACGGTCCGTATAAAAACCCTTGATTTCATGGGCTGCTAAATGCAGAGAAAAAAAGAGCTTGCTTTCATGGGCTGCTAAATGCTGACGACACGAGCCATTTCTGACATCAAGTCCTGCTCTGGGAGAATCTCTTTCCCACTTCATTCTCACACCATTTTGGTAGGGGACGTTGATTTGAAGAACGTATCAGTAGTTCTCAGGATCATAACGTCCTCGTCTTTTATAACGTTCTCAGGATCAGTAGGATCATAACCTGTCACACTGATCTCCCCTTGGACAGTCGATCGTACTGAGGGATGGCAACCGTACGTGTTCCTACTCCAGCGACATCGCAGTACGCTAAGTTAAGTAGCGCGTCAAGGTCTAGGTTATCCGACCGCAAACGTTCGAGTAACTCGGCTCGTTGTTCCAGTCACAGCCTCTCTGCGAATGTCGGTCTACGAAGCAGTCAACGTACCATCACGCATTCCTTGACCACGAGCCATGTCCTTCCTGATGCTTCCTCTTCCCATCATACCACCTGCGCTGTCGCCGCTTCTCCCGCCGTTACTGACAACTCACCGTCTCTCTTAGACCTCGTGCCAGAGATCAAAATCGAGAAGCTCGACATTTCCTTCCCAGCTTACACTCCCGAGCACTCCGCCGGCACACTTGACTTGATCGTCGTCGGCGCCGGTCCCGCCGGCCTATCCGTCGCACAGCAAGTGGCGTCGCACGGCATGAAAGTATGCTGCGTAGACCCTGCTCCCGAGTCCATGTGGCCGAATAATTACGGCGTCTGGGTCGACGAATTTGAGGCGCTAGACCTGGCGGACTGTCTAGACTACGTTTGGCAAAAAGCCGTGGTGTATTTAGACGACGGAAAGCAAAAGTATCTGGACCGGCCGTATGGGAGAGTGAGTCGGCGAGCTCTAAAGATGAAGATGGCGTCGCAATGCATCAAGAATGGAGTCACATTTCACGCGGCTAAGGTACGATTTCTCCCACACGCGCGTGTAGCTAAATTGCAATTTGTCAGAATAAACTTCATAATGCACGAAATCCCTTCCTCCTGCTTCCTGGTTTTGGATGAAGAATGAAAGTTCGAGCCAACTTGGAAAACATTGAGGACGAGGTCTGAGTGGGTTTTTCGCATTGCAGGTTGACAGCGTGGAGCACACAGCAGACAGCTCGGTGGTGCGATGCAGCGACGGCACCGAGATCAGAGCGGCCGTGGTGCTGGACGCCACAGGCTTCTCGCGGCGCCTCGTGCAGTGCTCACAGCCGTACAACCCGGGCTACCAGGCCGCGTGGGGAATCGTTGCCGAGGTACGTGTGTGTGTGCTGGTGGCTTGCGGCCGTACGGCCAGTAAACAAAAAGATCTGGCAAGTCTGATGAAAAGTTACGTACGAGAGTGGCTAGCGTACGAGAACGCACAAGGCAAAGAGCTACGCACATTAGAGTATTTCTCTCAAACGAGTGTTCAGCGCGGATCGTTTGCTGACTAGGAAAATGTATGGGAAGTGAATTTCAGGCAAAATGGCTTCCCAGCTCATCACAGAAAATAATGCGAATGCGATCAGGCTCCGGCGGGACTCGTGCACACAGGACACGGTTGGCGGTGCTGGCGGTTCTCCGACCAAACGTGCTCGCCCACCTCTCCCTGCTCGCTGCTTTAGGCGGATTCGCATCCGTTCGCGCCGGACCAGATGGTGTTCATGGACTGGCGTGTTACTCACTCACACGAGAATTGTGCCCTTCTCTGTCCGTCGCATTCCTCCCTGCTTCTTGCCTCAGGTGGATTCGCATCCGTTCGAGCTGGACCAGATGGTGTTCATGGACTGGCGGGACTCGCATCTCACCCCGGGCACGCCCATGCACAAGAGCAACGCCGACCTCCCCACCTTCCTCTACGCCATGCCCCTCTCCCCGACCACCGTCTTTCTAGGTACGGCTTCCTCTACACCATGGGTGACGTAAAAGTGTACCCTAGAAGTCACCTTCCTCTACGCCATGCCCCTCTCCCCGACCACCATCTTTCTAGGTACACCTTTTGAATAGGCACAGAAGTCACCTTTCTCTACGCCATAGGTGACTCTTGAGTTTACCCTAAAAAATCACTTTCCTCTACGCCATCCCTTCTCGCCCACTGCGCCGTTCTAATCCTCGCCGCTGTTCCGCCTTTCCTAGCTTGTCTTGAATCCTGCAAGGTCGCCTGTCTGAACGTATGCGTTCCGGTGCGTGTCCCTGCTTGTCCCGCAACTCGCACTCAAAAGTACATGACTGCTTGTCCGTCCGTCCGCCCGTCTTCCCCATGCCATGCTGCTCCGTGCCGTGCAGAGGAGATGTCGCTAGTGGCGCGGCCAGCCGTGGCGTTTTCCTTTCTTAGGTGCCTGAAATTTTGACTCGTCCGCCCGTCCACCCGTGTTCCCCGTGCCATGTTGCTGTGTGCAGAGGAGACGTCGCTAGTGGCGCGGCCAGCCGTGGCGTTTGACGAGATCCAAAGGCGCCTGGAGAAGCGCCTGGCGCATCTGGGGATTAAAGTGAACGCCATCACCGAGCAAGAGTGAGTGGCGGGGGGGGGGGGGGTTGCAGCGACTGGACTGCACACTTGCTCTCTCTGTGGGGTTTGTCAGCAAAAACACTTACTTAGGATCCGTCAAAGTGACTTCACATAAGAAGTGCATGGGGTGCATGTAGTTTATCAGTGGAAACGCACGGATGCACTTGCATTGCTGCGTCCAAACGTGGTGTGTACATGCCTGCAACTCGCTGAATGGAGCAGCCAGGCCAACTGAAGCCTTTCCCCACCCTCCCCACCCGTTTCCCACCCCCTTTCCCACCCCTTTCCAGCCCGAACCATTTCCCATCCACTTCAGTTCACGTATCTCCGGCCCGCATCCCGTTTGCCCAGAACCACCCTCCTCACTCACCCGTATGCGTCCACGTCATACGTACGTGCCTTGAACTGTGCAGGTACTGCCTCATCCCCATGGGCGGTGTGCTGCCAGACATGCCACAACGTGTGCTGGGGATAGGAGGCACAGCGGGCATGGTCCACCCCTCCACTGGTAAGAGCATGCTCCACTCCCCAGGCATGACCATGCTGAGGCCATGCTGACCATGCTGTGGCGTTGCTCTGGCATGACCATGCCTCACCCTTGCTCTGGCATGACCATGTGCTGCACCAGACCTGAGTAGAAGCGCAGTCGAGCAGGCAGGTTATGCGCTAGGGTTCAGCTGTCTAGGCACACGCGATGCTGCTCCATCCTTTCGCTCCTTGATTTGGGAAATCTTGCTCAGAACTGTGTCACTCTTTTTCATGTCACCTCGACCCCACCTATTCCCTCTGTGCCCCATTTCCCCTGAGTTCCCCTCGGTATAATGGGCTCAATATATTTATCCCTCTCTACCCCCCCTTCCCCAGGCTACATGGTGGCGCGGACGCTGGCAGCAGCGCCAGTGGTGGCGGCGGCGATAGTGAAGCAGCTGGAGCGGGAGGGGCGGGAGCAGGGCGAGCGGAGGGGCGGCGACAGCTTGTCAGCGCGCGTGTGGGAGGACGTGTGGCCGCTGTGGCGCAAGGAGCAGCGCGAGTTCTTCTGCTTCGGCATGGACGTGCTGTTAAGGGTGGGTGCTGTGCTGCTAAGGGTGGGTGCTGTGCTGCTAAGGGTGGGTGCTGTGCTGCTAAGGGTGGGTGCTGTGCTGCTGCGGGTGGGTACTGTGCTGCTCAGGGTGGGTGCTGTGCTGCTCAGGGTGGGTGCTGTGCTGCTAAGGGTGGGTGCTGTGCTGCTAAGGGTGGGTGCTGTGCTGCTGCGGGTGGGTGCTGTGCTGCTCAGGGTGGGTGCTGTGCTGCTGCGGGTGGGTGTACCTTGAATCAGATACTAATCCGGGTGGGTGTTGTGCTGCTGCGGGTGGGTGTACCTCAGAATGGTTGCTGCCAAGGGTGGGTGCTGTGCTGCTGCGGGTGGGGGCTGCTTCAGGTGGGTGCCGTGCATCGTAGGGTGGGTGCGGTTCAGAAGGGGTGCTTCTCAGAGCAGGTGCTTTTCAGGTTGGGTGTTTTTTGGGATCGGCCTCTGTGCTCTCCCTCAAGGTTCCACACCCTCCCCCTGCATTAACCGATGCTCACCACACTTCTTCTCCTTACCCTTTTCTTCCCCTGACAGCTGGATCTAGCAGGCAACCGGCGGTTCTTTGACGCCTTCTTTGACCTCACGCCCTACCAGTGGCACGGCTTCCTCTCCTCTCGCCTCAACATCGTCGAGGTACGCTGCCTGTCATCCCCCCTTGACTTATGAGCCGAAATGCTTGATGTATTATTTCCTATTTCCTCCCTTCTCTCCCTCGCCTCGCCTCCCAAACCATTATTAGATCACGGATTCTTACAATGTCCACTTGTCCCCATGCTGATTTCCTGTCCCTTCCTTTATGTGCTTCCCTCCCTTTCGGCACTGTCTGTCTCTCACCCGCAGCTCATCTCGTTTGGTCTATCACTCTTCAAGAACGCCTCCAACCCAGCACGGATTGAGATCATGGCCAAGGGGCTACCTGGCCTTGGCACACTCATTCAAAACGTCGTCAAGATGCGTGTCTAGGGGCCGCCGATCGTTCTTTGTTACGGGAGTGCTTCGATTCGAATCAAGAGCCATACATGTAAACGCTGACCCGTTTGCTGGAGGGGGAATGGATGTGGGTCAAGAAACCTTCTGCCGCTCATGGTTTGGAGTTGCAGAGTTTCACATAACAGCAGCAATACGAATTGTGTGAGTGTGTGTGTGTAGTAGTGGTGTATACAAATTCTGTGTTGTGAAGGTCTATTGTATGACCGTTGCATTCGTAGCATTCTTGAACATGAAAATCGCAGCTTTGGGGAAACTGTCTCCTGAACTGGCTTCATGCATTCGACAGCTGGTCCTCCTTCAAACTGTTCCTTAGCTTCTTGTGCATAAAAGCAAGAAATTGTGAAACTAATATGATCTGTAGCTTGGAGGGAAATGTCTTGTGCTGTGGCTAGAATAAAGAGCCCGTATGTTGATAGTACAGTAAAGTATTATCAAGGTTGTATCACACTCTTGGGAATTTCGTCCTTCACTGACACATGTTGCTGTGACCCCTGACCGTCCCCAAGCGACAACACTCGCACCATAGAACTAGGAGCCTAGACATGAAAGCATGGCGGTGGTTCCTGGCTCTCCTAGGTTCCTTTTTTCCTAGGCTTCCTTTTCTCCGAGGTGCTTCAGCCGGGCGTTACCGTAGCTCGTGCGAGCATACGCTTCAGATTTTACCGGATGTATTCTAAAATACTGTATAATAGTGACCCGTGGCCGTCCTAGGTTCCTTTCCGTAGCGGCCAGTTTCGAGTGCTTCAGCCCGTCGGTAGCTCGCTGGGTCTATCATTTCGATTCGTAATTCCTTCATTGATAATGGCATCCCATGTTGGTGCCGGAAGTACTAGTGGAACGGCTATTAAGGAGGATGGGGATGACGGGAATCTCGAGACAAGTGAGGAGGAGAATATGGTGACACAGGTTGCGCACGCGGGAGAGGAGGAACGGGAGGAGAGGCGGGAGAACGAGCAGGAGACAGCGTACAGTGCGTTGCAGCAGCTGGTTACCACGGTTTCGGCCGCTTGGTTAAGTGGGCTCCACGGCACCGTGGTGGGTCCAGGATCGGCCTCTGAGGGCCGCTTAGGTTCTCCGCTTCCGGCTCGCGTCGCTGTTGCTACCGCTACTGACGCTGCTTCCACCGCTACTGATGCGGCCGCTTCCGATCCTGACACTTCAACTGCTTCTTCTATCGCTGCGGCTGCTGCTGCTCCTGACGCTGACGCTGCTGCTCCTGTCGGTGGCGCTGCTGGCTCTAGCGCCGTCTCTGCCCCCTGCTTCTCCATGGAGCTCCGTGATTGGCTGGAATCCTCGGGACTGGGCTCCACGGATCTCCTAGGCTCGTTGACCCGTGCCATGGATTCCGAACCTGCAGGCGAGGCTCGGTCGTCCCTGGCCTTGCTGGCGTCCAATCTGGTCCACTCGTTGCAGCTTCGGCGGATACAGGACGTTTTTGCCAGGTGACTATAGAAAGGGTGGGGAAGAAAGTGGGGAAGGGGGTGGGTGGGTGGGAGGAGAAGATGGGTGGATGGTGTGTGTGAGGAGGATCCATTCGTTCATGCGATGCGATGGGACTTCGAAACAGGGTGCAATTCGCTGATGCCCCTCTGCTCCTGTATCCCTCCTCCCCGTGTGCATGGCCAGCTGCCCCAGAGCCCTCCTGGTCTGCCTGAGGCGTTCTTGGTGGCGTGTGAAGGATGCCCGGGGTAGATGCAGGTGGGGAAGGGTAGATGCAGGTGGGAAGGGGTAGATGCAGGTGGGGAGGGGTAGATGCAGGTGGGGGAGGGTAGATGCAGGTGGGGAGGGGTAGATGCAGGTGGGAAGGGGTAGATGCAGGTGGGGAGGGGTAGATGCAGGTGGGGGAGGGTAGATGCAGGTGGGGAGGGGTAGATGCAGGTGGGGAGGGGTAGATGCAGGTGGGGAGGGGTAGATGCAAGCGAAGAGAGGTGCGTTGAGGTACGGAGGGGTGAAATGGTTTCGGGGATAAGGGGTAGACTAGACAGACAGGTGAGGCTGCAAGGCAAACACCTGGTGAAGATTATTCTGCTGTAATCTTTCGCCCTCACTTTTGCGACCTCATTTTTCTTTCGGTTGTCCGACTCTGGTCATATATGTGTTTCCCACCCACCCGTGCTGGGAGTGAGATACGCGGAGTGGGAGGACGAGGAGGTGGGGCGGGAGGAGGCGCGGGAGGGGGAGGGGGCGGAGAGGAGAGAGGAGGGGATGGAGGGGAGGACAGAGGGGGGGGTGGAGGAGAGGAAGGAGGAGGGTACGGATGGGGGGATTGGAGCAAGGGCAGGCGGGGACGGGGAGAAAGACGTGCATGGGGGTAGAGAGGGAGGGAGGGTTGAAGGTTGGGAGCAACGGCGTGAGGGAGTTGGAGGGTTGGGGACGAAAGGCGGGCGAGAAGGGGTGGGAGAGAAGGAGAGGGAGTTGGGTAAGGCTGAGCGGAGGGAAGAAAGGGAGGAGCAAGAGGGGGTGGAAGGCAGGGAGAGAGGGAGGGGGAAGGAGAGGAGCGGTGGAGAGAAGAGAGGAGAGGTGAACAGAGGGGCGGAAGGGGGAGAGGAGCAGAGGAGGGGGGAGGAGAGGCGAGTGGAGGGGAGTGGAGCAGAAGGGAGGAGCGGGGGGGAGGCGAGGAGCGGGGGCACATGGGAGGACCTGGTGGTGGATGTGCAGTCACGGCTGTGGATGACGTACCGCTGGGGCTTCCCCCCCCTGCCCTGCGCGGCTGCTGCTGCTGCTTCTGATGGCGCTGCTAGTGCTGCTGCTGGCGGGGCTGATGCTGCTGCTGGCGGTGGTGCTACTGGCGGTGGTGCTGGTCCTGGCTTCACCACGGACACGGGATGGGGGTGCATGTTCCGCACCGGCCAGATGATGCTCGCACAGGTAACGTCTCACTCTCAAGGCACTGGTGCTGCTGCTGATGGTGGCGCTGCTGGTGGTGCTGCTGCTGCTGGTACTGGTGGTGCTGCAAGTGGGTGCTGCTCAGGTATTGTTGTCTTGTCCCATGTTCCGCACGGGAGACGACGATTCTTGCACAGATGCTGTTCACGTCTTCAGTCTTTCTGTGGAAGCCTGAATTCATCTCGCTTTAGATGACTTCCTTGGAGTTGTTGTTTTAGAAATATTTTACTTCGTATCCTTGTTGTTGCTTTTTAGTCTTCCACCGACTAGTTTCTGATATATCTGATAACTTGTCCCTGCGTTCCGTCCCTCTCCTCCTGTGTCTCTGCTGCCTGTGGGCCCTACTGTAGTGTTTGAGGCATCTCAAGTACGGTTCCTCTCGCCCCTTTCCCTTGCCTCCCAGGCCCTGCTGTGCCACCGGTTGGGTCGCCAGTGGAGGCGACATGCGGGCAGGGAGGAGCAGGTGAGGGGAGGTGGTGGGTGAGAGAGCGGGGAGATGGGTGTGAGGAGGTGAGCTGGGGAAGAGAGGTAACGTGCGAGCAGGGAGGGTTGGGTGAGGGGGGATGGTGGGTGAGAGAGTGGGGAGGTGGAAAGGAGAGGCGAAGCTCCTGCACGCACAGCTCCTCCGCTCCTGAGAATTCTCAAAATCGAAAAGAAAAGTTTGCGCTCATGCCCACCCACTCTCAGCCCTGCTATGTGACTCTTCTTCTCCTCCTTGACCTCCTTGACCTCCTTGACCTCCTTGACCTGACCCGACTTTATTGACCTGTCACTCACATGTAGTCATGTAACCCCTCTTCGCCTTACTCTCTTTCCCCTCCTCTCCCCTTTCCCCCCTCCCCCCTCTCTCAGCCATACTATGAGGCACTTCGTCTTTTTGCCGACTCCCTCTCCCCTCTCTCCCATCTCTCCCCCTCACCCCCCCTCTCCCCTTCCCCCCTTTCCCCCCACCCCCAGCCATACTACGAGGTCCTTCGTCTCTTTGCAGACTCCCCCTCCCCGCTCTCCCCGTTCTCTCTGCACAACTTGGTTCGGGCCGGCGCTAGGCTTGGCGTCAAGGCTGGGGCATGGCTCGGACCATACCGGCTGTGCGTCACGCTCGGGAGCCTGGTTCGGGAGATGGAGGAGGGGGCAGTAGAGGGTGGTGTGGGTGAGGAGGAGACAGGGAGAGGAGAAGAGGAGGGTAGCGAAAGGCAGGAAAAGCATGGGGATGGGGGGATGGTGAGAAGAGCAAAAGCAAGAAGAGATGGTGAGGTACAAGAAAACGGCAAGGAAGCTGGTGACTTGTCATCACGGAGTGAAGAAGGACGATTGTGGGGCAAGGCGGGGCCACTGTGGGGCATGCGGGTGCATGTGGTGGGGGCGCATCCGGGGGGGGAGGGAGGGGGAGGCGCACCCATGCTGTGTGTTGATGAGGTTATGGCTCTGTGCTGTGGGGGAGGAGGAGGGGGAGGGGGGGAGGAGGGGAAGGGAGGGGGGAGGGATTTGGAAGGTGGGGAAGCAGTGGAGGAACAAGGGGGGGAGAGGGGAGGGGAGAGGGAAGGGGAGAGGGGAGATGAGGAACGAGGGGAGGCGAGGAGCGCATGGCGGGCGGTGCTGATCCTGGTGCCATTGGTTCTCGGTGTCGACCACATGGACGCCCGGTGAGGCTGTAGCACAATATTGCTGGTGAGGTGGGGCTGCCGCGCACGTTGAGGCTTGCAGTCAATCCAGGGCTTCCCTCCTCTCACTTCCTCGCACCTTCCCACCCTGCAGCCACCAGAAGCTACTGCGCCGCCCATTCACCTTCCCCAGACCGTTTGTCTTTTCCCAGGTTGTTTCCATCTTCTCATTTCCTCCCCATCGGCTGTGTCTGATCAAATTCCCGCACCCTGCCACCTTGCAGCTACCAGGAGGCGCTGCGCCGCACTTTCGCCTTTCCCCAGAGCGTGGGCATTGCGGGAGGCAAGCCCAACACGTTGCTCTATGTCATCGGCACACACCAGAGCGATGTGCTCTTCCTGGACCCGCACTACCCACAGCAGGTAAACATAAGCTGTAACCAGGTAACCATCACATGTAAATACAGGGTGGCAATGGCGTGCACCTGGGAGGCAAGCCCAACACGTCGCTCTATTTCATCGGCACACACACCAGAGCGACGTGCTCTTCCTGGACCCGCACTACCCACAGCAGGTGAACAAATATCTGCTAGGCGCACTACCCACAGCAGGTGAACAAATATCTGCTAGGCGCACTACCCACAGCAGGTGAACAAATATCTGCTAGGCGCACTACCCACAGCAGGTGAACATATTTTGTTGCTAGGGTACAATAACATATGGTTACCAGGTTACAAATGCATGCATGTCGCTCTTCTTCCCGCACTACCTACTGCAGGTGAACATCCGTGGTTACCATTTGTGAACAGTTTGCTGTGATTCATTAGAGTTAAGAGGAGATCTTAGCCCATAGTGTCATGTAACCATTTGTGTCTTACGATCTTTATGGTGGTAACCCTATTTCGTCACATTTAACCCAGTGCCCACTCACTGCTCGACTACCTGGTTTCCTCCTGCAGGCTGTTACATTTCCTGAAGGGCCAATCAGCACATGCCATGTGGACACATCATCCTACCATTGCAGGTGAGTTTTTCTCTCTCTTCTTCTTCTTCTTCTTCTTCTTTTTCTCTCTCTTTTCTATACTCATCCCTGCTTCGTTCCCATAAGAGCAGACCATCTGACGCATGCCACAATGTTTACCGCCTGAAAATGTGTGTCTGTTCCTCACGTTGTTTCCCCCAGCAGCACCATTCGCCGCATGCCACTATCAGGCATGGACTCCTCTCTGGCTCTCGGCTTCTACTGTGCAACCCAAGGTAGCCTCTTAATTTTCTTTCCTAAGCAACCCGTTAGAGAGTTTCCAGTTGCTGCTACCATGTGTTGAAATGCCATGTTGATGCCTGTGTTGTACTCCGACTCACGTTTGCTTCCCAGTGCCACTCTCCTTCTCACCCGCGCAGGTGATTTTGAGGATCTTTGCCATCGGATTGAGCAGCTCGCTCAATCTTCAAAAGGAGCGCCGCTCCTCACTGTGGGCAACAGGGCCGATCTGGTGAGCTATGCAGTGAAAGAGGTGCCTGAGATGGACACCTCTTCTTTGGGAGACTCATTGGAAGATAATGATTCTGACATTGGTTTTTTTTTTTTTTTTTTTTTTTTTTTTTGCTTATATGAATTATACACCAGAACACAAGTGTACAACGCATAAACAGTCGTAACTGTGCATGAGAGACAGGGGAGCCCGCCTCAGAATATTTGATCCTCAAGCATGGATCCGGGGCCTGCGAGGTTTGCCCCAGACTGCTGCGAAGCTGTTGGACCACTTCCAACCTTTGCCATCCACCACTCTGATACGGTTCAGAAGATCACGCTCTTGCACTGTCATTTTCCGCCACCTGTCTTGCTGTTCCTTCCCACGCTGCTGCATCCTTGTCGCAGAAGCACGCAGGTAAACGTTCACTTGCATGCGGAGGGCCGACTCAATTCTCCGCAATACCCTTCGCGTGCGGAATTTACAGCCTCGAAAGGCCCTTTCGCACCTTTCCGCCCATAGCTGATGGAGGGCAATCGCGACCAGTGTAGCCTCCGGAAATGCTGACTGGGACTCGGCTTTGCCAAACAGCCAATCACCGAGCGAGTCACATTTCCTGCCTGGATTGATCATCCGTAGCGCCTTTTTAACCGCTGAAGTCACCCCTTGGGTTTTCGGGCACTTCAAAAGACAGTGTTCCAGTGTCTCAAAACTCCCACAGTGAGGATAGACTGGTTTGCTGCTGAGAAACTCCAGACGCTCCCCTACTTGTAGATTAAGGCAGTGGATCCGCAGCAGAACATCTCTTGGCCGGCTCGGGGTAACAAGTGACTCCCGAATCTGAACTGCCCGCTTCCAGTCAATACTTCCGCCCCAACGACTCGCCCATTTCTCCCGCCTGTTCTGTCCACTGTTGCCATGCTTCCAGTACTTTCTGAGCGACCTCAGCGGAATTGCTTTTCCTTCCGCCAACAGTTTTTCCCGGAGCTGTAGGGGTCCCCCTCTGCCAACCTCGTATTCGTCCGCAAAGCTCATGTTCGGGAGTACAGCCGAAATGAGCTGATTCCTCCAGGCCTCCGGCGCAGCTGCAAAAGCCTTGAGCGCAAGACTTGCTGAGTCTCTCCCCCGCAACTCCCTCTCTAGGGTTTCAAGGCTTTTCAGCATCCCCCTCCCGTCCGCATCTCTTCCAACCAGATCGCCCAGCCTGACATCCCAAAGCCGCTTCGCCGCTTTCTGCCCTCCCACTGGCGTGGTACCTTTCAAGAGAATATGCCTGTTAAATGCGATTCTCTCCAGCAGCAGCTCCTTGGTCTCTCGTTCCTCCGTGGATACCGCTAACGGAGATCGCATGAAGTTTGCACAAGCCAATTTCCACCTCTGACTTTTCCCCTCCCAGGTTTTCAACAGCTTCTCGTGCGCCATAAACGTCTCCACCCCCCATGGCAGGTCAGCTGCTCGGCGCATCAGCTCCCGCTTTAGCTGGTTCGTCTCCGTGAGTACCAGCCCGATCCTTCTAGCTGTTAAGCAGGTAAGCATCGCCTCAGGATTTTTCGCCCCCACTCCTCCTTCCAGTACCGGTGTAAACAGAAGCTCTTTGTTCCAGAGGTTGAAGCACTTGTCCGATGTGACCTTGTTAGCTGACATGAAGTTTTGTGTCATCCTTGTGATGAAATTCCAGGTTTGCGCAGGCGGCGGGTACACCTGAGCTTGGGACCACGCAATCGGCAGAATATATCCGTCCATCACCGCTGTCCGACCCTTAATCGGGAGAAATTGCGGTTGCCGTAGCGACATCTTTCCGGCGATTTTTTGAAGCGCCTTATCCCACGTCGGCTGGCAGCTTCCATTCGGCGTGACCCACACTCCCAACAGTCTTTCTGCTTCATTTTCCTCAGCCCATCGAAACCCGTCTGTGCGCCATGTCTTTTTCCCCAGGTTAACTCCCAGTGGCATCACCACCGACTTCCCCTTGTTGGTCTCCAAACCGGAAATGCATTTGAACTCCTCCAACACCTCCTCTGCTCTTCCGATTTGCTGCTTCCCCTGCAGCAGGAGGGTCGTGTCATCGGCGTAACCGATGTAAGCCAACCTTTGGCCAACACAGCTGGTGAGGGAAATCCCTATCTTCCGCTTCATCACCTTCTGCGCCAGCGGCTCCACCGCACAGAGGAAGAGGTAGGGTGCTAAGGGGCAACCCTGCCTCACCCCCGAGACCACATTCACCGCTTCGCCCATCCAGCCATTGATTAGCAAACTCGTCCTCGTGTTCGTGTGCAGACCTTTCACCCAGCCAACGAAACGAGCCGGAAAGCCCATTTTCTCCATCACTTCGAAGATAAAGTCTCGAGAAACCGAGTCAAACGCCTTTTTGAAGTCTACAAGCAGCATAAACCAGTCCTCCGACCCATTTTTTGCTGCGTCGATTATGTCAGCAACCAGCCCCACCGCATCAGACATCCGCCTTCCGGGGATAAAGCCAAATTGTTCTGGTGAGATCACCTTGTGCAGCACTTTCTTGATTCTGCTCGCCAAGACCCGCGCCAGTAGTTTGTAGCTGATGTTTAAAAGCGTGATAGGACGGTAGTTATCCAACTGCTCTTTCGCCCCTTTTTTATGCAGGAGGATTGTCACCGCATCTTTCACGTTGGTGGAGAGCGAGGACGTGAGGGTGAAGTCGCTGACCAACCCCATAACATGCTTTCCGAGTGTGTCCCAGTGTGCATCAAATAGCTCCTTCGGCAAGCCATCTTTCCCTGGTGATTTGTTGCACGCCATTTCCCGCAACGCCTGTCTGACCTCCTTCTCTGTCCATTCCTCTTGCAGACTTTCCGCATCTGAATACAGCAGCCTCTTCCCGGCTTCCGGACACCAATCCGAAGTCATCGTGCGCTTATCTTCTCCGAAGAGGTTACGGAAGTAATCTGCCGCTGCCTCCAAGATCCGTTTCGGCTCCGACACCACCCCTCCTGGTACCGCAATCTCCGCGATTTGAGTCCTGACTTTCCGCGTCTTTATCCTTGCCGACAGATGCGGTGAGGGGACTTCTCCCGTCAACGCCATTTCCACTCCAGCCATGGTGTGCATTCTGTCCCTTCGACACGCAAAATACTCCTTGAGCTGATGTTCCTTTTTACTCAGCCGTTCCTTCAGCAGCAGATCTTTCGGGTGCTGCATGAACTCCTGTCTCAATGCAGCCACCGATGTGGTGAGATGAACGATAGTTGCCCTGATCCTTTTGCTCTCTTCTCTTGCATACGCTCGCAGGCTGGCATGCAGGCACGAAATGAGTGCTGTAAAACCTCTTCCATTTTGCGCGACCAGCCGCTCCACCTCCTCTATCTTCTTCTTAGCCCCTGGCCTCCCAAGCAGAGAGGGATGAAATCGCCAAATTCCCGGCCCCAGTTTCAGTTGCGATTTGAGCTTGAAGATTACCCGGACAGCAAAACCATGATCAGAGACCGGCTCATCCGGCGAGACGTGCGTAGCTGACACCAGGCGCGGGAGCAAGGATTGAGAGGCTAAAGCTCGATCTATCCGTGAACTCTCCTGATGTGATTGTGAGTAAAAGGTGAACTCTCGTTCACTTGGGTGAAGGAATCGAAAAGCATCTGAGACGTCAAAGGCTTTACAGTGGTGGTAGAGGAAGTCATTCTCTTTAGTTGATCCGTGTCTGGAGGTTTTATCAAGCAGTGGATTCTCAATGGTATTAAGGTCACCTAGGATGAGCAGGTGGGTGCCTGGCTGAATCTGGCCTAGAATCGGACCAAGTACTATCCTGACGAAGGCTCGCTTCTCAGCTTTGTCTGCAGGTAAGTAAGTTGCTATCGGGGTAAGTCGAAGGTTTGAACAGTGAACTTCAGTCTTAACAAGTCTTCCTGAGGGGTGAGCTAAAGGGTTGTGAAAGGAAAGGTCCGTTCGCCGGCTGAGAACTGCAACACCTCCGGCTCGAGTCACAGAGGAGGTGGCAGCAAAAGAGGTGAGATTGAGGGAAGACCAGTAGGTGTTATCGTCTGTTATTCGCGTATCTGATAAAACCATTACATCTGCTCCTTTGTTGCTGTTAATCCATGCCGTTGTACGTTTCCGCTTCGTGAAGTCCCCCAGGCCGTTAACATTCAGGCCCGCAAACGACAGCGTATTCCGTGTATTCATTTAATAACTCCTTGATCGCCTCTACGCATCCACAGGCAGGTAAGACAGAGTACACCAAGAACTACCGCTCCAACTGATATCACCATGGCAAGCCGATCTGGGTCTGTTAAATCCCATACTCCTTGCGGACTGTATGCAGGTTCTCCTTTTCCCTTGTCAGACGAGTGACCGCACCCAGCTCCCCTTGTCCGTGCAGATGACGCGCAGCAGTTATGTGCTCTGCAGCAGCGACAAGCAGCATCCCATGCGCTTTCCCGCAACAAATCTGAGTACAGATCCACTCTTCCCTGGAGCTTCCGGTGGAGATCAGGACAATAGCCGGGTCGAGCAGAATCGGACGCACCAGGCGCGAAGCAGTCAGGGAAGCAGCTGCGACAAGCGGCTAAACGGTTAGGAGTTGGATGACAGGTAAGACAATCTGAACTGCTTAAGCGTGTAAGTGTACTGTTACCATTGATCCCATGCACATGACCTAGGCTCAAGTTCCACTTCCCTATGTTATGCTGCCGGTCAGTGGTGAAGGCATCATGGTATTTCTCATAATGCGGACCCCCACAGAGTTGGCAGGAGAGCATAGGGTAGTGGACCAGGAGCTTCTTATCATGCTCCTGCGGGTGGTTGACTTGGTGAATAAAACGCCGCTTTTTGACTTCCGGGTGTGGAACCACCAATCCCTTAATAGTCCCTGTGTTGGCTCCAGAAACCGGATGCACCACGCGGTGAAAGCAATGACCCTCCAGGAAAGGCGTGACTTGGCGAATTTTCAGCTTGTACTTCACCAGCAACTCCTCAACAGCCTCCGGCGTAATACTGGCAGGTATGTCCTTAAAAACCACTTCAATAGCCCGTTGATTAGTAGCTTTCTCCTTCGCAAAAGCTGCATTCTCAGCATGCAGCCAGTGTAGAGTAAATGATGCTCCATTTGGCTTCTGATACTCGAGCGCTGCCTGACGCACTTTGATCGCATCCTCTTCTTTCAGAAATGATAACTGAAGGCGGCTGTACTTTGTCTTTGCTACGTATGCAGGATTGATATCCTGAAACTCAATCAATGTGTTAGCACCGTCAGCGAATAAGGAGGACCGGACACGTTTCAACAGCAGCTTCACGGTTAAAATAACCGATGCCATTTCCGGTTGAAGGACCAGCGGGAGAAGCAGAATCGCCGTGTGACGGATTTTCGCAGCAAAATCCTTGGAGATCTCAAACTCCAGTTCATCGTCGAAGTCATCATCCGTGAACTCTCCGTCGTCAGCTTTGTCATGTGCCAAGGTAAGCGCCGTCAACTTTTCCTCCAGAGATAAACCAGAGCTTCCTGCAACCGGAGTGACTGGTTCCTGATCCACCACAGTCTTTCCCTTGTCTTCAGACATGGTAGCAGAAGAGGATGCAGCAGAACGCTTCGGCACCAGGGGTTTTCGTTCCTTCGGAGGCGCACGCGGCATGGCGCAATGATGAGTTAGCTTGAGTATCAGGAGGCTTGCAAATGCCTGACAAGGTTGACTTGCTGAAACTCTGAGCCCAATATAATATAGCCGTAGTGATCCTCCGTCTGACCAGTATTCCTGGTGCAGATGATGAGATGTTGCTGACATAACCACTGGGTGGATATTCGTAGCCTTGAGAATGCCTTGAAATAAAGAGAGCCAATCATGTTGTCGCCTTGATAGCGCTTGGATAACACACTGGAATGCTGTTAGAATAACAGATGGCAAAGCCTTGAGATTGTATTGACTGAAGAACCTGAACAGCAGATCCCGAGGAGCTTTTGATACAATGTCCGACTGATGGACACGATAAGTGTACCAAACGCTTCGTCGTGATAAGGCGAGTACAATGCCGTGGTTCTTAAAGCCAACTGATAACTCTGCTTCACGAAATGCCGGGTTGAATACCCTGAAGAAATCCATGGTTGAATCCATGCACAGCAGGTTAGTGGCCGAAGCGCAGAGCTCCCGCAGGTTTTCTTTCGCTGTTGGTGACAACTGGGAGCTGGTATAGCACGGCGGAACTCTTCTAGTGTACATAGATAGTCCTGGGGGGTGTACGAGTTAAAACATCTGCATACATTATGTATATTCTGTACAGATTTTGGTAGTGCAGTCCACGTCCTCAATATTAGCCACGTCAGTTCCCCGCCCATGAACAAGGCCTTTTTGGGTGGAGTGAATGAACGCCTCTACTGTACAGCACAGCATGCATCCGCGGCACCAACCAGCCAGATGAAACAAGGGTTTCAGAAATTCTGACCACAAAGCTCTCTCGCGCCGCTGCTGCCAGACTTCGCTTTGACCCGCTGGATCCACCGGGCCCAGAGCAAACGATTTTCGGTGCACGTGTCAATAGGTCACTCGCTTAAACTCCATGTGAATCCAAGCTATGTTGCTTTTCGAAACTTTCTATGCACTTTTCCCAACTTTAACACAAGATATTTTCCTTCCACGCCTTCTAGAATTTATGGTGCCCTCTCCCGTCGTGTCGGAGCTCCCAAGCAAACAATCGGTTTCATCCCCCCAACCCATTTATAACACTCTCAAACCATTTGTAAACATCTTCATCCATGAGTCTTTGCTTCCTCTCCCACCACTTCCTTCAAGATGCATCCATCCATGTCATCCATTCATTTCCTCCCTCCCCTCCCCTCCTCCCTCGCTTCGAGCTTCTCTCCGCCTCATCCAGTTTCCTGTTCGTTACACAAATCATGTACTCACCGTTATCTTCTTCCGTTCCGTTCTTGCCTCCTTCGCTGGCCTCCTAGTCTTCACCGCTCGCTGTCTGCTTCTCTCGTTAGTCTCCGCCCCTAGTTCGTCTCAGGGAATTTAGACACGACAAACGGAACCATCCTGATCAAGGCCTATTACTTCCTCGTAGCTTTATTCGTTTTTGGCTTGCAGCTTGCTGAAGGAAGCTTGGTTTGACGACTGCCGTAGAGAATCGTTCAGGATAGCCCGTAGACGAAAGAACCTATGGTTGTCTAAATCAGGTCGAGCTTTTTAGCGTGTTTTGTACTGAATAGTCTGAATATCGTACTCGTCACAAGCTCATTAGTACCAATTACCGTTTCCGACATTCTCGTTCCGGTACCGCTTAGGTACTACAATTGTAACGGATGAGTAGGATTTCAAGCCATAGAGACGACAGGAGTCGGAGAGGCCAACCGGCGGAACCGGTTGCGCTGTTTCCGCGGATGGACGTGCGCAGCGCGGCAGCAGCAGCAGCGGCGGGGCCCAAGCCGCCACCGCGGAACAAGATGGCGCTCTTCGAGTCCTTGGCGCCGCCTTCCGCTAAGCGCCACCGCGCCGCGTCCCTCTCCTCTCCGCTAGGATTCGCCGGTTTTCTTCCCCCATCCTCTACGTTCTGCCCAACGTCAAGCAGTTTCCCGCCAACGAATGGTTTTCCATCGAGCGTTTTTCCAACGAGCGTGTCTCCGTTGAGCGGTTTTCCGTCAAGCGGTTTTCAGTCAAGCGGTTTTCCGTCAAGCGGTTTCCAGCCAAGCGGTTTCCTGTTCAACGGTTTTCCGTCAAGCGGTTTTCCGTCAAGCGGTTCAGGACCAGCAGGCACAGCTTCTCCCGCTCATCCCGCCGCTGCCGGGGTACGCTTGCCTTCCCCTGCCTCCCGCCTTCCCGCTGCCTCCCGCCTTCCCCTGCCTCCCGCCTTCCCGCTGCCTCCCGCCTTCCCGCTCCCGGCTTCTCTCTGTCTCCCGCGATCCCCCATGTGTCAAATTGTTGCCGTTTAGCGTTTCTGGTCTTCCCTTCTTCCACTCTTTCCGAGGCCTTGTTTGCTGCGCGGGGCCCGTGTCCCATCCGCTCACTCTTCCATCGCCCTTCCTCTCGTCACCAATAGTTCTTCCATTTCCGCACCTCCCATCCACCAATCAGGTCGCAGCGTCCGTGTTGCCGCCCTGCCACGTGTCCAAGTTCGCATACGCGCCCTTCACAGCCGCCAGCCAGCAGCCCTTTTCCGCGCAGCCACGCTCTTCACAAGCCGCGAACTCGTTACAAGCTCCTGACTCGTTACAAGCAGCCTTCAAGCTCCCATCCGTACCCGTCAGCAACATCAGCGGGCCCCGCGCTTCCGTTCCAGCCCGTACCAGAGACTCTTTCTCTGGAAGCTTCCACGAAGCCGCGTCTCCAGCGGTCCAAGCCGCGTGCGCAACACACTCCATCGGCGGGCCTTCCTCCGGTTCCGACCCTTCCGCCCCGTCTCCCGTTGCGAGCGCAGCATGGGGGTTGTCCGCGCGGCCGCGCGCCATGGGCGGAACTCCCGCCCCGCCGCATGCAGCAGGCGCATCCGGAAGCTCCGGCGGATTTCCGGGATTCCCAAACCCCCCCGCGGGCGCAAGTGCGGAAGGAAGCGGCGGAGGGGGAGCTGGCGGATTAGCGGGCGGGATGGCGGAAGGTATGGCAGACGCAATGGCGGGCGGAGGGGGGCGGATCCCCGGAAGCTCGTCCCCGCGGGATGAGGCTGCGGAGAGCGCGTTCTGGGCGTGGCGCCACCACTCGCGCACCTCCCCCACCCCCCCTGCTTCCGCCTCCGCCTCCCCCTTCGCTGTTCCCGGCGCCCCGTCCCCGTTCGCCCCCTCCGCGTTTCCTTCCGCCTTGGTTCCCCCCTTGCCTGTCCCCCTTGCCGCGGCTTCCCCTGATGCTGCTGCAGCAGCCGCGGCTGCCATGCTTGCGGTTATGGGTGGCGGAAAGATTGTGGCGGGAGGTTGGGGGGGAGGGGGGGGGGGGGATAAAGCGAGAGCAGAGGAGCAGGAGAAGGATCAGAGGCAGGAGGGGAGTAAAGCGGGTGGGATAAGAGGAGTGGGGGAAGCAGCAGTAGGAGGAAGGGATGTGAGCGGCGCAGTGAGGGCGGGTGGAGGAGCAAGGGGGAAAGGTGGAGAGAGGGCAGGAGCAAGGGGAGGAGTGAGGGAAGGAGTGAGGGAAGGAGTGAGGGAAGGAGTGAGGGAAGGAGTGAGGGAAGGAGTGAGGGAAGGAGTGAGGGAAGGAGTGAGGGGAGGAGTGAGGGAAGGAGTGAGGGAAGGAGTGAGGGAAGGAGTGAGGGAAGGAGTGAGGGAAGGAGTGAGGGCGTGTGACGTGGTGGCCGTGGTGGGGCAGCGGGAGTTCTGGCGCCTGCAGCAGGGCATGCAGAGGTGAGCGCAGCGTGTTTCTGTCTCTTTCCTCTCGTTTCCTCCATTTCTCTCCTCTCGTTTCCTCCATTTCTCCTCTCGTTTCCTCCATTTCTCTCCTCTCGTTTCCTCCATTTCTCTCCTCTCGTTTCCTCCATTTCTCTCCTCTCATTCCAGTTCTGATGCTCGTCTCCTCGCCTCCCACTTACGCTTCCCACTCCCCTATCACGCCCTTCCAACCATCCAGGCATGAGCGAATAGTGTGTGCGCAGCTGCTCGACCTTCATCTCATCATCGTACAACAAGAGCTCTTTAGCTCCACCCGCCCCTCTTCTTCCGTTCCTCCCCCCCCCCCTGCCCTCCATCCACACAGGCATGAGCGCATAGTGCGTGCCCAGCTGTTGGACCTGCACTCCCTCATCATCGTACAACAAGAGCTTTTCCAACCAGCCCGCCCCTCTCTGCCTCTTCTGCTCCCCCCTCCCTCCCCTCCCCTTTAATCAAACAGGCATGACCGCATATTCCACGCACAGCTGCTCGACCTGCACTCGCTCATCATCGTACAACAAGAGCTCTTCCAAGCAGCCCGCCCCCCCTCCCCCGAGCCCTCCGCCACCAGCGCCCCCCTCCCCTCCGCCCCCCTCTCCCCCGCGCCTCTCCAGCCCTTTCGCCCTCCTCCGTTCCGCGCCTCCCCAGCTGCGCTGCACACCTGTGCCGAGGCTGAGTCGCAGGCTCAGGGATTCCCGGGGCAAGTGGTTCGGACGGATACGGAAGGATTCTCTGCTGCGATTGGTGAAGTGGCTAGTACGGGGGGGGAGGAAGGGCGGACAAAAGGGAATGAGGAGAGGGGGAGGGATGATGGGGGTTATGGTGGCGATGGTGCTGCGGTTGGCTATGCGGAAAAGGCAAGGAGGAAGAGAAGAAGGCAGGAGGAGGGTACAGGGGAGGGTATGGGGGAGGATATGGGGGAGGAGAAGGGGGAGGATAGGGGAAAGGTAGAGGAGCATTGGGGGGAGTGGCAAGCGAGCCCCAGAGAAGCGTGTCTTGCTGCTCCTGCTCTGTCGCGCTCCCCTCGACACGTCCAGCAGCCCGTACCATCCAGATCACCCCATCGCCCCACACGTGCTAGCCCCATACACGCTAGTCCCACATGTGCTAGCCCCATCCACGCTAGTCCCACTCGCTGTAGCCCTGTCCGCACCCCCCCTCTCCCGCATCCCATACCTGCCACCCATACAGGCAAGAGCCCCAGTCCTGCCTCGGCCGTGCCTACCGGCCCCGAGCCTGTAGGCTCGGCAGCTGGTACGGTTGGAGGCTTGGCAGGGTTGTGGAGCTACCCGCTTTACCAGACCACACCTGGGCCTGCACCTGGGGTTTCTCCTGGCCCTTCACCTGGTGCTTACCAGTATACAGTGCCTGGTAACCCCATCTCGGCTCCTGCTGGCTTTCCTGCTGCTGCTGCTACTGTCGCTGCTGCTGCTGCTGTCCCCTCTGTCCCTGCGTGCGCTCCCTCCACTGTACCAAATCCTGGGGTAACCCTGAGTTTGGGGGGCTACACACCCCTTTGGGGTACAGACGCTGACGTTGCGGCTGCTGCAGCTGTGTCTGCTGCTGCTGCCACTGCTGCTACCAACGATGCCGCTGCAGCTGCTGCGGCTGCCAGTGATAGTGATTGTGACAACATGGTTACTGAGGAAAATGAGCGTGACTATACTGATTGTGGCAACAGCGACTGTGACACTAGCAGTCGTGAAAATGCTGATCGTGACAGCGGTCATGGTGATGCGGGCAGGGAAACGGAGCAGACGAATGGGGCTCGGGGCAGCAGCACACCCCATGGGCCACTGGAATCAGTGCAGCAGCACACCACGGGAGGTACGGGTGGTTTAGGTGGTGCTATGGATGCTCCTAACATGGCCGCTTTTCAAGCATTTCTGGTGCAGCAGCAGCAGCAGCAGCAGCAGCAGCAGCAGCAGCAGCAGCAGCAGCAGCAGCAGCAGCAGCAGCAGCAGCAGCAGCAGCAGCAGCAGCAGCAGCAGCAGCAGCAGCAAGCAGAGCAGCAGCAGCAGCAGCAGCAGCAGCAGCAGCAGCCAGCAGCAGCAGCAGCAGCAGCAGCCAGCAGCAGCAGCAGCAGCAGCAGCAGCAGCCGCAGCAGCAGCAGCAGCAGCAGCAGCAAGCAGCAGCAGCAGCAGCAGCAGCAGCAGCAGCAGCAGCAGCAGCAGCAGCAGCAGCAGCAGCAGCAGCAGCAGCAGCAGCAGCAGCAGCAGCAGCAGCAGCAGCAGCAGCAGCAGCAGCAGCAGCAGCAGCAGCAGCAGCAGCAGCAGCAGCAGCAGCAGCAGCAGCAGCAGCAGCAGCAGCAGCAGCAGCAGCAGCAGCAGCAGCAGCAGCAGCAGCAGCAGCAGCAGCAGCAGCAGCAGCAGCAGCAGCAGCAGCAGCAGCAGCAGCAGCAGCAGCAGCAGCAGCAGCAGCAGCAGCAGCAGCAGCAGCAGCAGCAGCAGCAGCAGCAGCAGCAGCAGCAGCAGCAGCAGCAGCAGCAGCAGCAGCAGCAGCAGCAGCAGCAGCAGCAGCAGCAGCAGCAGCAGCAGCAGCAGCAGCAGCAGCAGCAGCAGCAGCAACGGCAGCAATGGCTGCAGCAGCAGCATCAGCAGCAACAGCACCAGCAGCAACAGTGGCTGCAGGTTTTGCTACAGAATCAACAACAGCAGCAGATGCTGCAGCAGCGTCGGCAGCAGCAGCAGCAGCAGCAGATTCTGTTGCAGCAGGTGCAGCAGCAGCAAGCACTGGTTAATCTTCTCTGGATGCAGAAAGGTGCTCGCACCGCTGCTGCAGCAGGCGCGGCTGTTGCTGCTGCTGACCATGCTTCTGGCGATGGGTATGATGATTACGGTGACTCTGGTGAGGACTATTCCTCTGGTGGTGATGATGATGGTGATGATGGGAGGGTCGACAGCCAGGACAGGAGGCATGGGAAGGCAGCAGTTGGGTTTAGTCCGTGCGGTAATGTGCGGGATGGAGGGAGCAGTGGCGGTGGAGAGGGTACCAGTTATGGTGGCAGGGCTGGCAGCTACAGGTATGCGGCCGGAAGAGATGAGGACGAGACTTAAAGATGAAGACTGAGACAACACAGATGGATTATGTGGAAGTTGTACTAAATTTGTGTTGCCAATGGTTTGCGTCGATAAATTTTAGTTGTGCTTCTGTAAATAACCAACCGGGTGTGTACTTGGGAAGTCAAATAAGGTGCCTAGCGGTTGCAAATGGGAGTGGACTACAATAATATACTGTACGAGAGCCCGGAGATAGTGTACAGATTGTAACATCCTCATGAACTGTTGCAGGTCGCCAGCAGCTCTATCGCGTCGCCCAGCCCAGCTTGAAGCTTGCCAGTGGGAGCCTCCACCAGATTCGATTGACATCGCCTGCCCCCGCCTTTTTCAAAATATCCTGCCAGCAAAAGTCGCTGTCAGTTGGAGACTTGAGAATATCCCATGTTTCGCAAAATCGCGAAGCTCGTCTCGTGGCCCCAACTGCCTCGCGCGAAAGAATTCTTTTGTCACTTCGCAAAGCTCACCATCCAACCAATCGTAGCCAGCCAGTTTCTGAAACCCTCGTTCGTTCCGCCGCAACTGCCCTTCGCAAACTCGTCTTCCGCCTCTCTCCGCGAACCACACGGCGCGGCAAAAAATCGTCCCCCGGTGCCCTCTTTTCCTGGGCACTTGCTTGCGCCATCAGCCCAAACCGCGCAACAGTTTTTCCTCGAGATTGCCGCGGCAGAGACGGCCTTGACCTCGAACTTCCCTCTTCAAACTCTTCTCCCTCTCATACCTTTCTTTCGAGCTTCTTCGAGCAAGCCAATATACGTTTTAGGTAGCTCCCTCTTTTTGTGTGACGTCCACCCGTAGCGTTCAAAGTCAGCGAGGTTTTGCAGCCCTAATTCAGTCGCCTACATCGAGTCTTCCTGGGTTTCGGCCTTTGCAATTGGGAAAATTTCGAGGCATTTCGATCAAGCGGCGATTTCGTTTCCGCAGCCACCGTTTCTTGTGCGAACTAGGGGTACTTCGCACAACGGTCCCGAATTTCATTCACCGGTCAGACGTACCATTCCTTGGGCCGTCTGGAAAGGTTACCGATCGTTGAACTTATTAGACGTCTAACAACTCGATTACTTAGATCGTCGTAAAAGAGCACCGAGCGAGCCATGGAGGAAGAGAGCGAGCGGAAAAGCGCGGATAGAGACAGAGCGCCAGCGGCAGCAGCAGGAGCGGCGGACGCAGATGCAGGATCCACGGCGCTTCCCGAAAGAGTACGGCAAATTTGAATTCCGATGTGTTGCGCATACGTTACGGATTCGTTCCAGATTCTTTTCAGATTCGTTTCAGCATTTATTCGTTCAGGAACACCGAAAATCACGACAGTGTGGCGGACTTCCCTGCACGATGCAGGTGGCTTTCACTTAACCCTGCTCTTTCCCGACAGGCGCAAGTGAGCCGGTCGGCCGTGTTTATTTCGACACGATTGTCGCCTCAGTGTTTCACGACACGATCTTCCCCGACTTTTGAGACGCCTCGTAAATTATCACGACACCCCTTTTCCCAACAGGTGCAAGTGGGTTGGTGGCCGTTGTATAACACGGAGCGGAAGCTTTAAAGTCGACACTAGTGTCGTCTCCGTGCTTTAACATACGCCCTTCCTCCACAGGTGCAAGTGGGTGGGTCGCCCGTGTATAAGATGGAGCGGAGGCTTCCGAGTCGACTCTAATGTCGCTTTCGTGTATCACGATACGCCCTTCCCTCCGCAGGTGCAAGGGGGCGGGTCGCCCGTGTATGAGATGGAGCGGAAGCTGTAGAGTCGCGTGCAGTGTCCCCTCAGAATCTCATGATACGCCCTTCCCCCGACAGGTGCAAGTGGGCGGGTCCTGCGTGTCTAAGATGGAGCGGAAGCTGTAGAGTCGCCTGCAGTGTCCCCTCATAATCTCATGATATGCCTTTTTTCCCCGCAGGTGCAAGTGGGCGGGTCGCCCGTGTATAAGATGGAGCGGAAGCTGGGGAAGGGCGGGTTCGGGCAGGTGTACGTGGGTAGGCGCGTCAGCGGCGGCAACGAGCGGGTCGGCCCAAACGCCGTGGAGGTGAGAGTAGCGACTGAGGTTAACGGCTAGTTTTGAGTCGCCTCAAAGGTGGAGAACGGCAGGTTTGGGCAGGTGTACGTGGGTCGACGCGTGAGCGGCGGCAACGAGCGGGTCGGCCCGAACGCCGTGGAGGTGAGTGCTGAGTCGAGTCAGAAGTCAGCTGGGGAAGGGCGGGTTCGGGCAGGTGTACGTGGGAAGACGCGTGAGCGGCGGCAACGAGCGCGTTGGCCCGAACGCCGTGGAGGTGAGAGAGGCGATCGGATTTGAACTCCCTGTCTTCGAATGGAGTGAGAGAGGGCTGTGGCCCGAACGCCGTAGAGGTGAGAGGGTCGACTGAGGTGAACGGCTCTGATCTGGTTAAATCAAAGCGCAGAAAGAAAGAGAAACGGTTTGGATTCGAACGGCTTCGTTCTTGAAAGTCTTTAAAAGTTGCTGCGTTGATGAAAGCGAGAGTATGTCTGCGTGCTGCGGCCTGCTGCGGTGAGGCCCCCCTGAGACATCTCGAAACTCGCTGTGCTTGCTTCTCTGGTGTGCGTGATGGTCGTGGTGGTGGTGGGATGCAGGTAGCATTGAAGCTGGAGCATCGGAGCAGCAAGGGGTGCAACTACGGCCCGCCCTACGAGTGGCAGGTGTACACGTGCGTGCTACTGTAGCACTAGCTTGTCCGATGTCCATGCATGAGCAAAAGCCTCCTGTGCCTTGCTATCTAGTGTAAGAGAGTATAGGTCGCAATGAACGGAAAATCATGCTTTACAGAAGCCATCATGTTGCAGTGCAGGTCACATTGAGCCATTTTCCGTTAAGCTATCCCCCTCTCTCGTGCCTCGTGTTCTGGCTCCGTTCCACCTTTGCTTCCCTCAACTCCCCTACCTCCCCTCCCCTCCCCTCCCCACTCAACCCCCCACTCCCCCCACCAACCCTCCCCATGCCCCTCTCCCTCTGCATGTGCCCGCATGGTACAGCACGCTGGGGGGGGAGCCACGGCTCAAAATCGTCTTCCTTCCCCCTCTAACGCTTCCCCTTCCCCTCTCCTCCCCGCACGCGCCTGTGTGGTGCAGTACACTGGGCGGCAGCCATGGCGTGCCGAGAGTGCACTTCAAGGGGCGGCAGGGCGACTACTACATCATGGTACGCCCGACGAAAAATAAGAATAAAAAGACAATAAGAGGGGCGCCAATGCACCTTGGTAAAATGGTGTGTATTATTATAATGCCATGGCAAGTGGCATGCGTGGCGTCTCCCATGCTTCTGTCACTCATTCTCATATCACATGGTCGTGTTCCCCCAGCCTCACGTTCTCTTCCCTTTGCTGTGTGTGCGCTTGCTTTGTGCGTCCACCCGTGGCTGGCAGGTGATGGACCTGTTGGGGCCCAGCCTGTGGGACGTTTGGAATAACCACAACCAAGCGTGAGTGCTGCTGACGATGCACGCATATGGTGTGGTGTGGTGTGGTGTGGTGTGGTGTGGTGTGGTGTGCGGTGGTGTGCGGTGCTGTGCGGTGCTGTGCTGTGGTGTGGTGTGGTGTGGTGTGGTATCGTTTGGTTTAGCAGCATGACAATGGAGATGGAGATGGCAGCCCTCTGCTCTGCCATCACCTTATCCCTGCCTACCCCCCTTTTCGCTACCCTTTCCCCCTCCCCCTCCCCCTCCCCCTTCCCCCTCTCCATCTTCCCGCTATTCCCTTCCCGCTCCCCCTTCCACCTTCCTCTGTCCCCTTCCTCCTTTCTGTCCCTCCCCTCACAACAATCCCCCCATCCCCTCCCTTCACCCCTCCCCCCCCCTCTCATCCCCACAGCATGTCAACGGAAATGGTGGCGTGCATTGCAGCGGAGGCACTCTCTATTCTAGAGAAGGTGCATGAGCGAGGGTGAGTCTGTGTGACAATAGCGAGGGTGAGTCTGTGTGACAATAGCGAGGGTGAGTGTGACAGTAGTAAAGGTGAGTGTGACAGTAGAGGGAGTGAGTGTGATAGTAGAGGGAGTGAGTGTGGCAGTAGCGAGGGTGAGTGTGTATGGAAGCTTACAAGGTTTTTTGCCAATCCCAATCTAGTCCCAACCCCTTCCCCTTGGCCCTTGCCGTTGCTGTTCTTCCGAGCCTTTCCTCTCGTCTCTTTCCCTTTCCTGGGACGTTTCCCGCTATCTCTCAAGGACCTTGCCCCTTCTCTCCGTCGGGACCTTGCCCCTTCTCTCCAGTCCTGTTGCCCCTCCCCTCCCTTCGGTGGCCTTTCTTGCTCCTCTCACACGTCTCAACGCCCCTCCTTGCTTTCTCTCCCCGCTTTCTCTCGTTTGGGACGTCTCAAAGCCCTTCCTCTCTTCCTGTGCACTGTGCCCTTCGCCCCTCCCCTTCCCATCACTTTGTCCAACTGCCCGCTTTTCCTCCACCAGCTACGTGCATGGAGACGTGAAGCCGGAGAATTTCCTTCTCGGGCAGCCCGGGACCACGGAAGAAAAGAAGCTGTACCTGGTTGATCTGGGTCTAGGTAAGACTGTGAATTAAAATAATTATCGTATGATTTGTTTTCCCTTTTTATGACTATAATTATGAGAATGAGCAATCCAGGTGAGAGCAACACAGGGCAGCACGTGAAGTACGAGCAGCCGCCTCACCCTGCCTTCCCTCTCCCCACCCGTTCTTCTCCCTCCCTGCCTCTTCTTCTATCTCTTCATCCCTTCTTTCTCCCCACCTCTTCATCTCTGCTCCCACCGTCTGTGCATGGTGCAGCAACGAGGTGGAGGGACAGCAACACGGGGCAGCATGTGGAGTACGACCAACGACCAGACATCTTCAGGTGAATCGTCAGACATCGTTAGGGTCAGGTGGTTCAGACCCACCTGAACCACCTGAATCGTCAGACATCGTTGGGTGGGTCAGGTGGTTCAGGTGGGTCTGCTGCAGTGCACTCTCCGCATGCTGCTGGTGCCACCCTCCTGTTCCTTCCGCCACTTGGGAGTCTTTGGCGCTATGTATGGGCCTACACACTTATGTCTTCCTGCTCCCGCTTTAACCCATACCCTGCTCTACCTCGCTTACACAAGGGCACGGTGGGCTATGGGGGGGAACACGCCCACATGGGGTGAGGTGTGTCCAGGTGTGCTACATCTCCATCCATGATCCTCACTTCTTAACCCCTTCCCTCCCACGCCATTCTCACAGGGGCACGGTGCCCTATGTGGGGGTGCATGCACATCTGGGCCGCACAGACAGTCGCAGGGACGATTTGGAGTCGCTCGCATACACGCTCGTCTTCCTGCTGCCTTCTTACCCCCCTCTTACCCCCACACCACACACACCCTGCTTTACCATGTTCCCACAGGGGCACGGTGCGCTATGCGGGGGTGCACGCCCATCTAGGGCGCACGGGCAGTCGCAGGGATGACCTGGAGTCGCTGGCATACACGCTCGTCTTCCTGCTGCGCGGCAGACTGCCCTGGCAGGGCTACCAGGTGAGTTCTCAGGTGCCAGGGGTGTCAGGTGAGTTCGCAGCCGCAGGTTACCTGGTGAATTCTCTGTTGGCAAAGTTATCAGTTGAATTCTCTATCAGGTGAGTTCGCAGGTGGAAGGGCTACCAGGTAAATTCTCAGGTGGCAGGTGAGTTTTCAGGTGGCAAGGGTGCCAGGTGAAGAAGAAGATGAGCTACTCACCAGACATGCCCAGCTGCTTTTAATTCGTGTGCTCTATCTCTCACTCCCTCCCTCCCACCTCTTGCTCCCCTTTCCGCCCATCCCCCATCAGGGCGACAACAAGGACTTCCTGGTGTGCAAGAAGAAGATGAGCACCTCTCCCGAGATGTGCTTCATGTGCTTTCTTGCACTCACTCTCTTCTTCTCTCTCTCTCTCTTCCCACCCATCAGGGCGACAACAAGGGCTTCTTAGTGTGCAAGAAGAAGATGAGCACCTCGCCCGAGATGCTCTGCTGCTTCTGTCCGCCGCCCTTCAAGCTGTTCCTGGAGTACGTGGTCAGCCTCAAGTTCGATGAGCGCCCCGACTACGCCAAGTGCGCCGCCATGTTCGATCCCATTCTCAGCCCCAACCCCGCATTACTGCCTCTCAACACAGAGGGGGCACGGTCTCTCAAGGTGGGTGACGGCGGTCCTGGAGTGGGGTATAGTGGGATGTAGTTCGGTGCGGTGCGGTGTGTGGTCGTTTAGCCCGGCACCCCCGTCACCCCCGTCACCCCCTTCACGCCCTTCAAGCTGTTCCTGGAGTACGTGGTCAGCCTCAAGTTCGATGAGCGCCCCGACTACGCCAAGTGCGCCGCCATGTTCGATCCCATCCTTAGCCCCAACCCTGCCCTGCTCCCCTTGAATACGGAAGGGGCACGGTCTCTCAAGGTGCGTGGTTGTTCTCCTGGGTGTCTGGACTGCAGTGTGGTGTGGTGTCAGGTCAGGTGTGCCGCCATGTTCGATCCCAACATCAGCCCAACCCCGCGCTGCTGCCTTTGAATACGGAAGGGGCGCGGTCTCTCAAGGTGCGTGGTGGTTCTCCTGGGTGTCTGGACTGACTGCAGTGGGGTGTGTTGTCACCAAGTGCGCCGCCATGTTCGATCGACCCCATCATCAGCCCAACCCCGCGCTGCTGCCGCTCAATACAAAGGGTGCAAGAGACAGCAGCGGGGATTCTGTGGGGATTCTGCAATGGGGTGTTGTGGGGTCAAAGGTTCAAAATAACGGTGCACTGGGGTGTGGTGTGGTGTGGTGTGGTGTGGTGTGGTGTGGTGTGGTGTGGTGTGGTGTGGTGTGGTGTGGTTTCAAGTGCGCCGCCATGTTCGACCGAGTCCTCAGCTCGAACCCGGCCTTACTTTCTCTGAACACAGATTGCGCGCGGTCCCTTAAGGTCAGTGCGTTTCTTGCAGTGCAGTGCGGTGCGGTGCGGTGCAGTGCAGTGCCAAGTGCGCCGCCATGTTCAACCCCGTCCGCAGCCCCAACCCCGCTCTGTTGCCTCGCAATACAGAGGGGGCACGGTCTCTCAAGGTGGGTAGGATGTTTGGACTAGAGTGCAGTGCTGTGTGGTGTGGTGCAGGGAGGTGTGGTGGGTGCATGCATCCCTATCTGTATATCTTCGTGTGTTATCCCCCTACGCACATTCCCATACGCACATCCCCATACGCACATCCCCATACGCACATTCCCATGCGCACATCCCCATGCGCACATCCCCATGCGCACATCCCCATGCGCACATCCCCATGCGCACATCCCCATGCGCACATCCCCATACGCACATCCCCATACGCACATTCCCATGCGCACATCCCCATGCGCACATCCCCATGCGCACATCCCCATGCGCACATCCCCATACGCACATCCCCATACGCACATCCCCATACGCACATCCCCATGCGCACATCCCCATGCGCACATCCCCATGCGCACATCCCCATGCGCACATCCCCATGCGCACATCCCCATACGCACATCCCCATACGCACATCCCCATACGCACATCCCCATGCGCACATCCCCATGCGCACATCCCCATGCGCACATCCCCATGCGCACATCCCCATGCGCACATCCCCATGCGCACATCCCCATGCGCACATCCCCATGCGCACATCCCCATACGCACATCCCCATGCGCACATCCCCATGCGCACATCCCCATGCGCACATCCCCATGCGCACATCCCCATGCGCACATCCCCATGCGCACATCCCCATGCGCACATCCCCATGCGCACATCCCCATACGCACATCCCCATGCGCACATCCCCATACGCACATTCCCATGCGCACATCCCCATGCGCACATCCCCATGCGCACATCCCCATGCGCACATCCCCATGCGCACATCCCCATGCGCACATCCCCATGCGCACATCCCCATGCGCACATCCCCATGCTCACATCCCCATACGCACATCCCCATACGCACATCCCCATACGCACATCCCCATGCGCACATCCCCATGCGCACATCCCCATGCGCACATCCCCATGCGCACATCCCCATGCGCACATCCCCATGCGCACATCCCCATGCGCACATCCCCATACGCACATCCCCATGCGCACATCCCCATGCGCACATCCCCATGCGCACATCCCCATGCGCACATCCCCATGCGCACATCCCCATGCGCACATCCCCATGCGCACATCCCCATGCGCACATCCCCATACGCACATCCCCATGCGCACATCCCCATACGCACATTCCCATGCGCACATCCCCATGCGCACATCCCCATACGCACATCCCCATGCGCACATCCCCATGCGCACATCCCCATACGCACATCCCCATGCGCACATCCCCATGCGCACATCCCCATGCGCACATCCCCATGCGCACATCCCCATACGCACATTCCCATGCGCACATCCCCATGCGCACATCCCCATGCGCACATCCCCATGCGCACATCCCCATGCGCACATCCCCATGCGCACATCCCCATGCGCACATCCCCATACGCACATCCCCATACGCACATTCCCATGCGCACATCCCCATGCGCACATCCCCATGCGCACATCCCCATGCGCACATCCCCATACGCACATCCCCATACGCACATCCCCATACGCACATCCCCATGCGCACATCCCCATGCGCACATCCCCATGCGCACATCCCCATGCGCACATCCCCATGCGCACATCCCCATACGCACATCCCCATACGCACATCCCCATACGCACATCCCCATGCGCACATCCCCATGCGCACATCCCCATGCGCACATCCCCATGCGCACATCCCCATGCGCACATCCCCATGCGCACATCCCCATGCGCACATCCCCATGCGCACATCCCCATACGCACATCCCCATGCGCACATCCCCATGCGCACATCCCCATGCGCACATCCCCATGCGCACATCCCCATGCGCACATCCCCATGCGCACATCCCCATACGCACATCCCCATGCGCACATCCCCATACGCACATTCCCATGCGCACATCCCCATGCGCACATCCCCATGCGCACATCCCCATGCGCACATCCCCATACGCACATTTCCATGCGCACATCCCCATGCGCACATCCCCATGCGCACATCCCCATGCGCACATCCCCATGCGCACATCCCCATGCGCACATCCCCATGCGCACATCCCCATACGCACATCCCCATACGCACATTCCCATGCGCACATCCCCATGCGCACATCCCCATGCGCACATCCCCATGCGCACATCCCCATACGCACATCCCCATACGCACATCCCCATGCGCACATCCCCATGCGCACATCCCCATGCGCACATCCCCATGCGCACATCCCCATGCGCACATCCCCATGCGCACATCCCCATACGCACATCCCCATACGCACATCCCCATACGCACATCCCCATGCGCACATCCCCATGCGCACATCCCCATGCGCACATCCCCATGCGCACATCCCCATGCGCACATCCCCATGCGCACATCCCCATGCGCACATCCCCATGCGCACATCCCCATGCGCACATCCCCATACGCACATCCCCATGCGCACATCCCCATGCGCACATCCCCATGCGCACATCCCCATGCGCACATCCCCATGCGCACATCCCCATGCGCACATCCCCATGCGCACATCCCCATGCGCACATCCCCATACGCACATCCCCATGCGCACATCCCCATACGCACATTCCCATGCGCACATCCCCATCGCACATCCCCATGCGCACATCCCCATGCGCACATCCCCATGCGCACATCCCCATGCGCACATCCCCATTCGCACATCCCCATACGCACATCCCCATACGCACATCCCCATACGCACATCCCCATGCGCACATCCCCATGCGCACATCCCCATGCGCACATCCCCATGCGCACATCCCCATGCGCACATCCCCATGCGCACATCCCCATGTATACATCACCATACTTACCCCCATGCGCACATCCCCATGCGCACATCCCCATGCGCACATCCCCATGCGCACATCCCCATGCGCACATCCCCATACGCACATCCCCATACGCACATCCCCATACGCACATCCCCATGCGCACATCCCCATGCGCACATCCCCATGCGCACATCCCCATGCGCACATCCCCATGCGCACATCCCCATGCGCACATCCCCATGTATACATCACCATACTTACCCCCATGTGCACGTCCCTGTGCGGTGGTGGCAGGTGCAGGTGGGGCAGAAGAGGGGGCGGGGCGAGGGGGCCGAGGAGGAGGCGGAGGAGGATCAGCTGAGGAAGAAGATTCGCCTCGGCATGCCAGCCACCCAGTGGATCTCAGTGTACAGTGCCCGACGACCCATGAAGCAGAGGTAGGTGGCGGGGTAGAGAGAGAGATAGAAAAGGGTATATGCACGTGCCACACAGTGCTGGAGAGGAGGATCAGCTGAGGAAGGGATTCGCCTGGGCATGCCGGCCACCCAGTGGATCTCCGTGTATAGCGCCGACGGCCCATGAAGCAGAGGTAGGTGCAAGGTAGAGGTACAGACAGGGTGGCGTTGGAGAAAGAGAGAGGTCTGCACTGCACGTGGCTCACAGTAGGAGGATCAGCTGAGGAAGAAGATCCGCCTGGCATGCCCGCCACCCAGTGGATTTCCGTTTACAGCGCGCGACGCCCCATGAAGCAACGGTAAGGGGGTTCAAGAGAGAGGGGGGGTGCACGCCCGAACGTGGCACACGGTAATAGGACCAGCTGAGGAAGAAGATTCGCCCGGGCATGCTTGTCACCCAGTGGATCTCCGTTAACAGCGCGAGACGACCCATGAAGCAGAGGTAGGCGCATGTTTAATAATAGGGCGTGGAACGTCCTTATGAACAAGGTGTTGGTCGCCCAGTTGCGACAGTAACCACTGTTGCGAGTCTCGCCGTTGACCTTCGCAGAAGAGTGACGAAGACTGCAAGAAGCGCGCACGTTCCACAGCTTGCTCTTTCTTCGCCCCACTTTTGGGACCTCGCAGACAGGACAAGAATTGGCGTCGTAAGAAGAAACATGCGACATGCAAGCAGGTGCTGTCGTGAGTGACGTGCTGCAACCCAATTCGCAGCGAGGTGATTGACGAATTCAGCGCTCTTGGTGTACCATCGCTCGCGACTCCGCACTTCTTCTGGGCGACCAAGGTCCCTTCCTAAACCGAAAAGTGCTTCTGATTTGCAATGTGGGGTTTTGTGGGTTACCTGGCGGAAACCGTCGCAAACAATCGACGAGACAAATGTTCGACCAAAGAAGCTACCAAACACTTGTTCATAAGGATGGTCCACGCACCCTTAGGGTGAATATGGAGGTGAGGAAGGTGCAGGTAGAGTGAGTGAGTCAGTGGCATGGACTTCCATGGCATGCCGGTCACGCAGTGGATCGCACTCCCCCTTCTGTACTCACTGGTATTCCGTTCACCAACGTGTCGGGTACCACTACAACGTGGCTGATTCCCGCCTGGCCCAGCACGTGGAGAAGGGCAACGAGGACGGGCGGCACATCAGCAGCGTGGCATCTCCCTTCCAGAGCTAATCACAGCCCCTCTCGTACCCTCCGTATTGCGTGCCTGTTGCCCTGCCAGGTACCACTACAATGTAGCTGACTCGCGCCTGGCACAGCACGTGGAGAAGGGCAACGAGGACGGGTTGCACATCAGCAGCGTGGCATCCTGTCAGAACCTCTGGGCGCTCATCATGGACGCTGGTACCAACTTCACAGCGCAGGTCTACGACCTCTCACACGTGTTTCTGCCCAAGGTAAGAACGTTGTTTTTCTGTCCTAAGTGAGGTGGGTGTGGTGCGGCTGGCTTGCACGGTCTTACTGCCTCAAAGTAAGGTAGCTAGCAGCAGCCCTCATCAGGCCCTCTGGGCGCTCATCATGTACGCGGGTACCAACTTCACAGCACAGGTCTACAACCTCTCACACGTCTTCCTGCCCAAGGTGGGTGGGTGTTCTCACTGCTGTGGGGGGAAGCTTCTTTATCACCGCAATGCAAGCTACTCTGCCTGAGATCCCCACATTGCTTTGATTACTCAACAAAGGCATTCCGTCCCTCCCTCACCTTTCTTTCTCCTCGTCCCCCCTCCCCTGTTGCCTCAGGAGTGGATCATGGAGCAGTGGGAGAAGAACTTTTACATCACAGCAGTGGCAGGCGCACTCGGTGTTCTCAACATAGCACCGGTCTCCTCTCCCGCTTTCACCCCTTCTCCTCCTTCCTCCATGCCTCAGGAGTGGATCATGGAGCAGTGGGAGAAGAACTTCTACATCACAGCAGTGGCGGGCGCCAGCAACGGCAACTCACTCGTTGTCATGTCCAAAGGTGGGTGGCTGGGGAAGAGAAGAGGTCATGGTCTAAGGTGAGTTTCTAAGTGGTGCAAGAGAAAGGTCATGTTGAAAAATAAGGTAGGGTGTGCACTCATTTCAGCAGCCTCCCTTCCATTTTCCATGTGCTTCCCTCCGCTCCCTCTCACTTGCTCTCCCTGCACTCCGCTCCCTATCTGCCTTTATCCGTTGCTTTCCCACTCCCTCCATCTTTCAGTGTTCTCCACTCCCTTACCCCCCTCCTCCCTCCCTTGCTACTCTCCCCCAGGCACGCCATACACGCAGCAGTCGTACAAAGTCAGCGACAGCTTTCCGTTCAAGTGGATCAACAAGAAGTGGCGCGAGGGCTTCTATGTTGAAATGACACCGCGTCCCTTAGGCCACCCTCTCCCCTCCTCCCTCCCTTGCTACTCCCCCCCAGGCACGCCATACACGCAGCAGTCGTACAAGGTCAGCGACAGCTTTCCGTTCAAGTGGATCAACAAGAAGTGGCGCGAGGGCTTCTGCCTTCAAGTGACACCACGTTTCCAACCCCTCCCTCTCCCTCGCCCTCTCTGTTCCTCTCCCCTCCCCCCTCTCCTGCTACCCCTCCCCCAGGCACGCCCTACACGCAGCAGTCATACAAGGTCAGCGACAGCTTCCCCTTCAAGTGGATCAACAAGAAGTGGCGCGAGGGGGCTTCTACCTTCAAGTGACACCACGTTTCTAACCCCTCCCTCTCCCTCGCCTTCTCTGTTCCTCTCCCCTCCCCCCTCTCCTGCTACCCCTCCCCCAGGCACGCCCTACACGCAGCAGTCATACAAGGTCAGCGACAGCTTCCCGTTCAAGTGGATCAACAAGAAGTGGCGCGAGGGCTTCTACGTGACCTCCATGGCCACCGCTGGCAGCCGCTGGGGCGTCGTCATGTCCCGCAACGCTGGCTTCACCGACCAGGTGCAGTGCGGTGAAGTGTGGTGCAGTGTGGTACGGTGCACTGCAGTGCAGTGCGGGACAATGCGGTGTGCGGTGCAGTGCAGTACAGTGCAATGCGGTGCGTTCAGGTGTAGTGGTTTGAGTGTAATCACAGGGCTTCTACGTGACCTCTATGGCGACTGCTGGCAGCCGCTGGGGGGTCGTCATGTCCCGCAACGCCGGCTTCACTGATCAGGTCTGTGGTACCTTGCTGTGCGGTGAAGTGCAGTGCAGTGCAGTGCGGTCAGGTGTGGTGGCTTGGGTGGGAATCACAGGGCTTCTACGTGACCTCCATGGCCACCGCTGGCAGCCGCTGGGGGGTCGTCATGTCCCGCTACGCCGGCTTCACTGACCAGGTGCAGTGCGGTGCTGTGCGGTGTGGTCAGTTGGGTGTATGATGAAGCGAGTCTGAACCCAACCCTGAAACCGGAATCCCACACTCGAGGCTTCAATGTGACTTTTGTATCCAAGTCCATATGGGTCCTGATGGGTCCCGATGGGTCCTGATGGGTTCGTGCCTATGGTGACCGGGGCCGTGGGAGGGCGTACAAGCAAGGGACATGGGGTGGCGCATGACCTCTTTCCCCCTCTGCCCCTCCCTCACATCTGTACTCGTTATAAGCAGGTGGTGGAGCTGGACTTCCTGTATCCCAGCGAGGGCATTCACAGGCGGTGGGACATGGGGTATCGCATCACAGCCACCGCAGCCCCACTCCCCCCTCTCTCCGCCCCCCCCACACCCACCCCTCCCTCTCATCTGTACTCGTTATAAGCAGGTGGTGGAGCTGGACTTTCTGTACCCCAGCGAGGGCATTCACAGGCGGTGGGACATGGGGTATCGCATCACTGCCACCGCTGCCACGTGGGACCAGGCCGCCTTTCTCCTGAGTGTGCCGCGGCGACGACCCGCGGACGAGACCCAGGAGACCCTCAGAACATCGGCTTTCCCCAGCACCCACGTCAAGGTGAGCGGTGCACGCTTGTCTGATGGGGCACCGTTGTAAAAGAAGTGGGACATGGGGTATCGCATCACTGCCACCGCCGCCACGTGGGACCAGGCCGCGTTTCTCCTGAGTGTGCCGCGGCGACGACCCGCCGACGAGACCCAGGAGACCCTGAGGACGTCCGCCTTCCCCAGCACCCATGTGAAGGTGAGCGTGAGGCATGCACACACACTATCAAGGTGAGCGGTGCACCCTTGTCTGATGGGGCACCCTTGTAAAAGAAAAGTGGGACATGGGGTATCGCATCACAGCCACCGCTGCCACGGGGGATCAGGCCGCCTTCCTGCTCAGTGTGCCGCGCAGACGACCCGCGGACGAGACTCAAGAGACCCTCAGAACGTCCGCGTTCCCCAGCACCCACGTGAAGGTGAGTGAGTGAGCGGTGCACACTTGTGTGGTAGTGCACTTGTGTCAAGGTGAGTGAGTGGTGCTTGCACTTTCAGGGCGAGCGGTGCATCCTTGTGTGATGGGGCATGCATGTCAAGGTGAGTGAGTCGGGATGGCCCTGTGAAGCGCTGCTCGCATGTGTAGGTGGATGCATGTCAAGCTGTGTGCACAATATGAGTTCTCATGGTATATATTCTCAAGCTGTCACACATGTGTATGTCTATAACGTGTATGAGAATGTTGTGGATTCCCATGAGCATGTTGGATATCCCTCGCTGAATTTTGCTTTCCTGTTCACACGCCCTTCTGGTTTGGCATGCTATCGCATGGTGTTGTGCGCCGAATGGTCTGGGGTGGCATGCGTTGTCTTATGTGCAGGAGAAGTGGGCCAAGAATCTGTACATTGCATCTGTCAGCTACGGCCGTACCGTCTCCTAAGCTCGTGCACACTCACTCACTCACTCCATCACTCCCTCACTCCCTCACTCATTCACTCACTCACACTCACTCACCTTCAGTCATGTACTGACTATTCACTCATCCACGACTGAAGCGCCCAGTCGTTCCCTCTCCCCCTCACACACACTCACTCACCCACCCGTTGGGCTTTCTCACATAGCCCCCTCTAGCCTTATCAAATTCGAGCCCTGCTCCAGCCCTGCTCCAGCCCTAGTGGTCAGATGGAGTGAGCTCCAGTGGGAGCGACTGCCATCTTCTTGATAAATCCTTTCTCTCCTGTTCTTACCGTGCCAGAACCATCTGATACCGTATAAGAACTGCTGATTTGCAATGCAACACTGGGTTGCATATCCGGACCGGAGGGTGTATGTACGGAAACGGGAATTTAGATGGTATATTCTGATATAACGCGATTACAGTACCTGCTCTTTCGGCAAAGCACCCCTTCCCTAGGAGAATTCACATGCTTCTGTATTCTATTTTTTGATTGATGGTATATTCTGATATAACGCGATTACAGTTCCTGCTCTTTCGCTAGATTGATTGATACTATCTTGATGTGGAGATTATAAATAAGACATGGATGAGCATTGCTGGTGATCTTGAGAATTCACATGCTTCTGTATTCTATTTTTTGTCAAGCATGTGGGTGTCTAAAGTTTGTATCTGCTTTGTGTTTCAACTTGTGAACGAATGTGTGAATTCATCGTCGTGTGAGAAACGGGTACACACATATGTGCGAATTGTTGCTGGAATCAGGACATCATTCCGCCGAATGCGTGCAGCCGTTGGATCCACTGGTCCTAGTTCAAAAGCTATCTCTCAATTATTTGAGTGCCGAGAAAGTAATAATTCCTTCCTGAGTCACTGATGGACGAATGACACAGCACAGGGTATGCGCAATTGACAAGCCGTCGATCTCTCTCTACCGCGTTTAATGTATCAATTTTAAACCGTCGATGTCGTGTGGAGGCTACAAGGGTGGTTTCATCACCACCAGCCTTCGACTTGTTCGCGCTTCGAGCTTCGAAGCTGAGGGTGCGTTTCTATCCCGTGTCAGACATCAAGTCATGCGGCCTTAGTCTCCAATTTGTCTCTTCCGAACTTCCAATCGCCCCAAAAACGAGCCACTTCGGGTCTTCCGAACCTCCACTTCGTGTCAAACCTAATGTCTGACACGGTATAGAAACGCGCCCTAAGCAACCAAGCCAAGCCCGAGGCTCACTTTCTCGCAGCCAACCAAGCCCGAGGGTCCACCTATTCAGAGATTCAATTTGGCAAGTAGAGTGGTTTTGCACCTCCATCTAAGTTCTACGAATACCAGTTCCTCCGATCCCCACGTTTTCGCTCCTCGAGTAACCCGGGCGCTTCGACAATTTGACTTGCTTAGCACAGCACATAGCGTTCTCCAGGGAGATTTACGAGCCTGTGATAAAAACAGCAATGCTTCACGCCTTATTTTTTAAGTATGATCTATAGGGTTCGCGGCGAGGATGAATGCTGGAGACTGGAACGCCTTGTGAGTCACAGCGACACTCTCAATGGCGAGCCAACACCCTCGCGTGAGACATCTTCGACAAATAGGGCATCACTACTTCCAGAATCTTACAAATCAATTGCGATCAGGCGGAAGCCACGCCATCAGACGATGAAATCACACCCGCGCATCACGCGGAAGCCTCGCGTCGAGATGGACAGCTCTGCAGGCCGCGCGTGCCTGCCGATCGTCCTGGCGCTGCTTGCCGCACTTCCAGGACGAGCAGCTGCAAGAATGACAGGTGCGGGCTCGTCGCGTGACGCTAGTAGAAAGGCAGGCTGGAGGCAGGCAGGCCGCGGCACGCCTCTCGTTGCGGGGAAGTGATGCGGTTGGTACACAATCTCGGTGGTTACCTGGCGGTAATATATAGCAAGGAGTGGACTGCTAGACGGGTGCGAGTCCACAAACGGAGATTATCCCGGCGGAAATAGAGGCACAGAGCCCACAGCGGAGCACTGATGTGTCGCCTTAGGTCCGGGATCAAACGATCCTCAGGGTAGAGTAAGCAATAGGAGGCTTACATAGAGTCCATTCCATTGCTTCATCTTTTTGAGACGTCTTGAAACTCCCATGTAATCCACTAGCTTCGTTGCGTCCAGGACTCATTCGTCACCGCTGTTCGGTTCCTTTGTTTCCATCGTCGTCTCTCTCTGCAGACTCTCCAATACTCTTCAGGGCAGAACGACGGCTACAAATCACTGGTAACTCTCTGCCTAAACGTCTGCCTAAGCGTTCGCTGCTCCAAGACCTGATGTCCTTTTCGTGGCTGCTTGAGACCCTTGGCGTTTCTTCCCTTGTGTCCTTTCCGTCCACTGCTCTGAGACCCATTACGTCGTTTCCGTCGCTCGTAATCTCGTGGCACTCCTCGTCATGTCTTTGTCGAACGCCGCGTCGTAGCAAGCCCAGAAAGCTAACCTTCCTCACTTCTCTAGCATTCTCCACTGTCACTCATTCTCTTGCCTCCCTCTCTCCTCCCTCCCTCCCTCCCTCCCTCCCTCCCTCCCTCCGCCCCTCCCTCCCTCCCTTCTTCCCTCCGTCCGTCCGTCCGTCCGTCCGTCCCTCCCTCCCTCCCTCCGTCCCTCCCTCCGTCCGTCCCTCCTCTCCTCCCTCCCTCCCTCCCTGCGCGCTCCAAACACCGACTCCACGTTGCAGGGGACGCTGCTCTTCGTTGTGCTCTGCGTTCTTGACCATCTCTCATCCTCTCACCTTCCTCCCGCCCTTCCTGCGCGCACCAGACACCGACGCCACGTCGCAGGGGAAGGTGCTATTTATCGTGCTCTGCGTTGCGACGGTCGTGCTTCTCGTCGTCTTCGTCGCCCTCCTCGCCCTCCTCATCTCACGGCGCTATCGAGGTATGTTGCTCACCCCGCCATGGGTGCGCTCCAGGTGCGCTGCTCGCCATTATCTCCGCACCTTCATCCCCGCCGTGCCATTCTTTGAGTCAGCACAGTCAACGCAAAGTCATCACTCTGCGCTCTGGAGGTGCGTTGCTCCTCCTCCCGTTGACGCTTGCTTCCCCATCTGCACCCTTTACAGCTGCAACAAGTCAGGTCTCTTGTCGCGAGGCCGCGGAGTGCTGAGTGGAGCCTCTCACTCCCGTTGCTCCTACTTGTTCGTGCTCTCCTTCCTTCTCTTCTTCACCCCTCACCTCAGCCCCTCTTTTGTGTCAACACGGCTGCTTGTACTATACCCGTAAATATTCGTTCTGCTCTCTTTCTCCATTCCACCCCACCGCGCTACCTGCCTCCCACCACGTCCCCCCGCTCTATTTCAGCTGCCCGTTCGGCTGCCCCCCCGGACACGGCGAAGAAGCTGCCACTGAGGGCCATCTGGAGGGCGACGTCGAGTCTGGGGGTGGCGCAGCAGGTGGGGGAGGGGGACTTTGGGCGCGCGTACCTGGGGGAGCATCGGGGGGAGGCCTGGATCGTCGTGGTCTCCACGTCAGTCAACATTGACGTCATCAAAGCGTTCCGGAGGGAGGTGAGAACAGGGAAAACGGGGGAGGTTCAGGATTGGGGAGGTTGTGGGAATGGGGGGACAAGACGGGGACAAGAGGGGGACAAGAGGGGAACAAGAAGGGAAACGAGCTGGATTAGGGAAGGAAAACGTGACAGGGAGCAAAGAAACGATTTGAGGGGAGGATGGAAACTGAACGGAAGTGTCAAACCCTCGGGGTCTAGGGTCTTGGGTTTAAGCTATCAGATCACCCTTCGCTACATGCCCTGCCCTTCCCCTTCACCACCCCCCCCCATCCACGTCAGGTCGACACCCTGGGCCCCGTGTCACACCCGTCATTGGTGCGCCTGGTGGGGTGGGCGGAGGAGGTCGGGCGCAAGATCCTCGTGTACAACCACCCCGCCCCGCTGCTGCACCCCCCCGCCCTTTCCCCCTCCCCCTCCCCCTCCTCCTTCTTCCGCCGGGGCGGTGGTTCCACTGCGGGCGGCTCTAAGAGAGCTACTGCCGCCGCTGCTGCTGGTGCTGCTGGTGCTGCTGGTGGTGTTGGTGCTGCTGCTGCCGGTGGTGCTTCCTTTGTCAAGGCCAGCAGTTTTGCTGCCAGCGGTGGTGCTGACGCCAATCGTGGTTTAGACGCTCTTGCCAATTCTGGCGCTGCCGGCGCTGCTGCTGCTGGTTCTGCTGCTGGTGGTGGTACAGCTGCTGCTGCTGCTGCTGTCGGTTCTGATGTTGCGGGTGGGGGCGGGGGTACACTGCTGGAGTATCTACTGCAGCAGCACCAGTGGCAGCTGCAGCAGCAGCAGACAGGCGGCGCGATGGGAGGTGAGGCGCTGGTGGTTTAGCACTGACAGCAAGGTTTTTTAGGCTGGTATATGAAAAACCTGCACTGCTGCTAGGCAGTGCCTCTCTCGCTCTCCCACCCCCACTGTGCCTGAATCCCCTGAATTCCTCCACGTGTTCTTGTCCCCATCGCCCCTCAGACCCTGTCTCTGCCCCTGTCTCTGCCCCTGTTCGCCAGACCCCCCGCCCTGCCTGTCCTTTGAGCGTCGGGTGGACATAGCGCACAGCCTGGCAGCGGCGCTGCACCATGTGCACTGCTGTGTGGACCCTCCCCTGGTGCACCGCCAAGTCAACTCCGGCAACGTGCTGCTGCAGCCTCTCAGGCCTTACGTGAGTGCTGCTTTGCGGGTTAAGTGACGACCTTTGAGGCGCCTCAAAAGGCGCTGCACCACCTGCACTGCTGCGTGCACCCCCCCTTGGTGCACCGCCAAGTCAACTCCGGCAACGTGCTGCTGCAACCTCTCTCGCCTTACGTGAGTGCTGCTTTGCGGGTTAAGTGACGACCTTTGAGGCGCCTCAAAAGGCGCTGCACCACGTGCACTGCTCCGTGGACCCTCCCTTGGTGCACCGCCAAGTCAATTCCGGCAACGTGCTGCTGCAGCCGCGCTGGCCCCACGTGAGTGCTGCTGCTGCGTATAGGTTGACTTGG